TACTCTCAATTGCATCGATTTGCCCCCTTGTACTTTCGCTCGATATCACTTTACCCCATTCTACTCTCAATTGCATCGATTTACCCCATGTACTTGAAAAATTATCTCAATGTGACCCTCGCCGTTAGTTTTCACACATTTGATCTTAACACCGTTTGATCTAAGTTTGAAAATTACAAAAAAACCACCCTTCTCAGTTTAAATAATATTAAAAAAAATAATTAAAAAAAAATTGTGGCTGGCGTCGTGGACTATGTGTTCTCGTTGTCTTGAATTTTTTATTATTTTTTTTTTTAATAATTATTTAAACAGGAGGGGTGACTTTTAAGTAATTTTCAGACTTAGATCAAACGGTGTTAAGGTCAAAGGCAATGCCACATTGAGACAATTTTTCAAGTACATGGGGCAAATCGATGCAATTGAGAGTAGAAGGGGGAAGAGTGATATCGAACCAAAGTACAAGGGGGCAAATCGATGCAATTGAGAGTAGAATGGGGTAAAGTGATATCGAGCCAAAGTACAATGGGCAAATCGATGCAATTGAAAGTAGAAAGGGTAAAGTGATATTGAGCCAAAGTACAATGGGATAGTGAAATCCCTAAAAAAATAATTGAAAGTAGAAAGGATAGAGTGATATTGAGCCCAAGTACAATGGGATAGTGAAATCCCTAAAAAAACAATTGAAAGTAGAAAGGATAAAGTGATATTGAGTCAAAGTACAATGGGATAGTGAAATCCCTAAAAAAACAATTGAAAGTAGAAATGATAAAGTGATATTGAGCCAAAGTACAATGAGATAGTGAAATTCCTAAAAAAAATATCCGACTATTCAGGCTTGGATTGCCGCCGGCTGTCCACCACTAGAATCAGACACCACCACGGTCCAAAACTAATACACTACAACTATTCGTCCCAAATTCAGCCCACTGGGAAAGGAGAAGGGGTGGTTGGCGGCGGGTATGGGAATCAAATAGGCGGTGCAAATGCTTGAGCTGGGGATGGGCGGCGGATATGGGAAGGGGTAGTTGGCGGCGGATTATTTTGGTTGTAGAAGAAAAGTCCAAGTAGGGTTTAATTAAGTTTTATAATATTGCAATTTGGTCCCTTTTTTTTAGAAATTAAAGTTTCAATCCATGAATAAACAAATTCAACTAGTAGGGGTGGGCACTTTTGTAATTTTCAGGCCTTGACCAAACGGTGTCAATGTCAAAAGTTGGAAAACTAACGGTGAGGGACACATTGGGACAAGTTTACAAATGCAAGGGGGCAAATCGATGCAATCAAAAGTAGAATGGGGTAAAGTGATCTCGACCCAAAGTATGAGGGGGTAAAGTGGAATTTGCCCTACATTTGAATATAACTACTCTATAATAAGAAAATCTTAATTATTTATCTTAAGGATTTAAACAATAGTTATCTTAAGCTTCTTTTGGATTCAAGGATTTGAAATAAATGGATTTAAAAGGGACAAATATAACTTTGGCCCCTATATTATACCACTAAAATGTTTTTTGACCCTATATTATCTCAGAATTGATTTTATTACATAAATGTGCCCCCTTTTTTTTCATTTTTGGCCCGCTGTCTACACCTGGGATTTGTTTGGATGACAAAAGTCACAAGTTTTGCACATGCTCCAATTTCATTTTCTTCTCGTTCTTCTTCCAAAAGTTCCCATTTAAAACCCTAAATTATCCGGGCGCGATCGTTCAAATTCGACTTGCGGTTTTTTTTCTTCTAGATAAATTTGCTAAACATCGCGGCTACATTGTTGAGTATATCATATTTTTCAAGGGCTAATTTCACTTCGACCACCTCCTAGATAGTTAAATTGCAGATCCATCCACTCTTAGTTAACATTGCCCAAACCTCCCCCGTTGAATATCTCCACTTACTGCCCCTCCGTCCATTTTTGTGGACGGAAATTGATGACGTTATCAAAAAATTAAGTGAACTCAATATTTTACCCTTTTACGGAAGTTGATTATGCTGATCATTTTTTACCGGACTGAAATGCTCTTACAATTTATTTCAATGGGAGGGGTGTGAAAGCAATAAATTAAATATATAAGGGGGTCTTAAAAATTTGAGACAACTACTTTACATCTATTTTGCAAAAGAAAAAACATTGTCACTTATTTCCCCAAATTGCTCAAACTGTAAACATGAAATTTAGTTCAAAATCTTCAATTTCAGTCGACGTCTTCAATTTCTTGGTTTTGCACTTATTTTCCCAAATTTCTCAAACCCTAAACACAAAATCCAGTCTAAAATCTTCAAATTCAGTCGAAAATGGCAACAAGCATAATATGCATAGCAATAAACTTCTGAAATATGGTTGAAACTTTGATTCCTGACATTATTTTAACAAAATAAAGCACCGAAGTTCTAAAAATTGTTCAAAATTGACAATTAACTTAATTTGACTAAATTTTTACAACTACATTTTGAAAAAGAATTGAAAATTGGCAACGAATTTCGGAGACTTGGCTGAAAATTTGTGTAGCACGAAAACTTGAACTTCATAATATTTCCGCGTTTTGGACACATTTTGTGTCAAACACTCGAGGACACTTGCCGGACACCTTATGAACCATTTTACAATTTCTAAAATGGTAGAAATATGTTTGATTAGTAAATTTCAAATATTTTTGTTTTTTCCCTAACTATTTACATGGTTTCATGATCAATTGCAAACTCATAGATGATTGGAAAACTTATTTTAAATATGTTTGTATGAAAATATATAAAAAAGAATTTATATACAAATAAAAACTTATATATATTTATATAGCATATTTAAAAATATACCCTTATACTTTTAATATTTACATGTTTCCTCAAAACTCCCGTATCTCCATTTTTGGGACATGCAGTTTCCCCGTGTCCGTTCCCCCAATTTTTCGTATTGCCGTTTCCGTGTCCATGTTACATAGTTGAAAATTGATAAGAAATTAGCTAAAATTGATAGCTTACTTTTTAAATTAACTAAAATTGACTGGAAATTTGACAACGAAACATTTGGAAAACCGAAAGCGAACAATCTCATGAATTGTAATTTATACATTACCCAGTTTGATTGAACAACTATAATTAGTGACCAATGTCGGAAAATCCACAATACACCAATCCGATGAGGAGGAAATGATGTTAAGGCTAAGTGGAATTGCCTACCATATATACCACACATTATGTTTGGTGTTGTTTGGGGTTTGTAGGCGAAATAGTGTAGGATGTGGGACTGCAAAACGCGTGAGAATAAAAATGTGCTTGATGAGCTTCTAGAAAGTAACATTTTCATATCTTTTTCATTATAATAAACTTGAATAAATTATTTTTTATATAAGGTTATCTAATTTATAAACAAAGTTTATCAAGAGTAGTAGTTGTACATTAAAGGGTAAATTACGAAACCCACGTGAACTTAGGTTAAATAACGGAAAATATCCCCACCTATCCGTAATAACCATATCCCGATCTGATTAACTGTTGATCGAGTTTTTTAACAAAAAATGTATACAGTCTATTATACCTTTTGTTAAATAAGTGAGAAATAAATGAAAATATCTGAAATTGTGTGAAGTCTATTCTCTGGAATAAAAAAAATCCGTAAAAAGTCACATTGTAAGGGGATAGTGTAAGACGGAAACAATCCTCAGAGAGTTTTTGATAATTACTATTATGTGGGAGTGTTTTCGTTATTTAACCTAAGTTCAGACGGTTTACCCTACATTAAATTTATCTTTTACATTATGAAAAAAAAAATCGTTCATTTTTACATCATTCTTAAACGTCCATGTACTAGCGGAAATTTTCTCAAGAATCAATCTTTTTCGAAGAAACTCCGTGTTTAAGGCTTTGTGAAGCAAATTCATCTGCATGATGTGAAATAACGACTGAATTTGATGTATTGGTGGATGAAGAAAGAAGCCGTTTCGGGATTTTGTTGGTGTTTTTGGAGATGAGGAAAAATAGTGCATGTTTTTGGGATTTTATTGGTAAAAGAATTTGGATTTTGTTGGTGTTTTTGAAGATGAGGAAAAATAGTGCATGTTTTTGGGATTTTGTTGGTAAAAGAATTTGGATTTTTGGGGATAGCCAAAGTGCATAATTTTCTTGTTTCTGTGATTTTTTCATACAATATTGTTCAAATGGCAAAGAAGATGCTTGTCGATGGAAAGGTGGACAAACCTAGCAAGAGGGAAGAGGAGACTCGCTATGCCATTGATTTGTTTGTACTCCCTCTGTTCCTATATAATTGTCGTTTTCAGCTTATGCACAAGGATTAAAGATCTTAATAAATGTTGCTTAATTTTAGAAAAATATATGTTCTTATACTAAAATGCCCTTGTCAATACTTAATGTGAGAGAGTGTTGAAGATAGTTAATAAGGGTAAAATTGATAATTACACAATTAATACAATATTGGAAATGTAAAGTGACAGATAATATGGAATAAAAATAATTTTAAAAAGAGACAGTTACTGCGGAACAGAGAGAGTAATTGGGAAGGTAGCCAAATTAAGGTTTGGGTTTTCTTTGAAGTAATCAATGGGGATGGAAGAAGACGACCCAAAACTTTATTTTAGTTAATTTTGAATTTTGACAAGTTTCAAATTAAGTTCAATCGGATCCTTACAACTTTCAATTTCACCCATATGATATTTTCAGATCAAAAGACGAAAAAGCCCATGTCCTTTGTCATGTGCTTCGCGCGTCGCGGGAATTTGTGAAGATTCGCCAGAATATTCTCCTAGGTTGTTAAGCTAGTCAAAATAACGGATTTGAGTGTGCACGTACGAATTTTTAGGTTAAGGTGGCAAAGTGAAAAAACGGGCAAAGTTTAACCGGCAAAATGCTATTAAATCTAAAAAGAATGTAAGTGTTAAAATTGTCATTTAACACCATCATCACATGGGCTCCGCCAACTGTTTATACAAGGCAAGAATAATGAAAGCCTTTCCCGCCGGGAAAATTCCCATTTAGCCCCCACCACTCCCACCCCCTCGCCCCCCTGCCCTTTTAGTTTCTCTCTCTTCATAGTCTCTATTTCTACACTGATGATAGATAAAAGGAGTGATAAATGCAAATAGACACGACTATTCACTGTTTCAACCAAACGGATCATTAAATCGTTTGGAACCCTAATTTCTGCAATTCTCCCTATCTTGGCTGTGCTTTTTGAAAATTAATAACGATGAAGCTTCGTTCTCACACCTCGGCCGCTTCTTCTTCCAAAGGTGGGGTTCTGTACAAATTTTATTTTAGTTTTCATTTTTTGTTCCCCTAATTTTATGTGGGTTGTGATATGATGATTGATTTCTGCCGTAAATGTTCTGTGTATACGATATATATGAATGTTTGCGCGTGTGATTTGGGGGAATTCTGATGTTTTGTTACTGTTATGGATTTCCGAAATTAAATTGAAGCAGGGAAAGCGAAGCTCAAGTACAGAGAGAGTTCTGAATCTGATGAAGATCTTTGTGAGGCAACAATGTCGTCGGATTCCGATTTCAATGCCCTTAGTGATGCAGGTATGTGTAAAATTGGGTCAGTGATCTTGATTAATCTTTGTTGTTACTAAATGTGTGATTTTGGGTGAAATAGAAGTGCTTGATTTAGTACATTTGTTTGTTCGATGAGGTATATCATATATCGTCTCTGAACGGGCAACAATTTTGTTGTTCTGATTGTAATCTGTCGAGACAATCTAAAGTGTATCTTCTTAAAGATACTCGTGTTTTTTTCTATCATCTCTATCTCTTTTGATTCTGGTATCCGACCTCGAGTAAAAGGAAATTTTGGACAGGTTCTAGCTGCAAAATTCTGTTTTCTTTTAAATTTTGAATACCAACTCGGATACTATGCCCCAAATGTGTAAAACAATAGAAAGAGTCTCTCCAGTAAGAGTTTTTCATGCCATTTTTGCATTCCTTTTCTCTCAGCGTTTAACCTTGAGCAAAAAAGAGTATGAATTCTAGCTGCAAACTCGTCTTTGCCTCATTGCCTCCGAATCATAGTTATTTTTTTCAAATAGTATGTCAAGTTAAAATTTTTTTGTGAACTTATGTGAGTTGCATTCTGATATCTAGTGATCCTGAAATTTTAGCTAATATTTATTTTTGTTGAATTTCTTAAATATGTCAATGGATGTGACGGAAGTGAATGAAAACAATGAGGAAAAATGTCATCAACAAATTCTTTTTCCTGTCTTTTCATAATTAATCGATGATTGTTTGGTTAGCAATAGTAGTTGCATGCTTAATTTGGCGTATTGAAATCTGAGATTGATGTTCTAAGTTTTGTATCGGATAACTTGTTGTCAATGTCTACCATCTCTGTGCCAGGGTATTGGATATTGAGTTCAATTATTATCGCTGTTCTTTTCAAAATTGTAATTGATTTCTGTATAAGTCTCTCTCTTTCACTCTCTCACATTTTGGTGGTGCTACTCACTGTGCATTGTTAATCTAGATGAAGATCTGTTGAATGTGACTGAAAACAATAGAGAGCAAGAGGCTTTGGACATAGATTATGCTTTGGGTGCTGCAATTGAATCTAGTGATGATGATCTTCTGCATAATGTTCCAAAGAGGAGGAAAAAGGCCCCCTCGAAAAATATGGGGGGACAAAGTTACAAGGTTCAGGACAAACAAGAAGAAGAGGAGGAGGCAGACATAAACGATGACAACATTGAGGCAATAATGACAGACCTAATGGAATGTGAACTTCGTAGAATTACGGAGGAGAAGAATGTGAAAAAAAAGAAGGGCAGGAAGAAGAAAGGGGATAGACCTGTATTGATGTGGGAAATATTAGAAGAAGAAAATGAGCGATGGGTAGCACAGAATTTAGAAAAGGATATGGACTTGATGAATCAGAACGAAATGGTGGCAGAAACAGTTGAGCCTTCTGACGACTTGATAATACCGTTGCTTAGATATCAGAAAGAGTGGTTAGCTTGGGCTTTGAAGCAAGAAGAATCTGCTGTCAAGGGAGGCATCCTTGCTGATGAGATGGGGATGGGCAAGACTCTCCAGGCAATAGCACTCGTTCTTTTTAAAAGAAATATCTCGAGAGGAATATCCGATCATCACTTACCTGCATCTTCAGCAAGTTCCTCACAGCAGTTACGTGCAATAAAAGGCACACTTGTTATATGCCCATTGGTAGCCGTGATGCAGTGGGTTAGTGAGATTGATCGGTTCACTTCAAAAGGAAGCACCAAGGTGCTTGTCTATCACGGTACCAACCGGGCGAAAAATCATTATAAGTTCTCTGAGTATGATTTTGTTATAACAACGTATTCAATTGTGGAGGCTGAGTACAGAAAATATGTAATGCCCCCTAAAGATAAATGCCAGTACTGTGGGAGAATGTTCTATGGAAGTAAGTTGAAGATTCACTTGAAGTATATGTGTGGGCCTGGTGCAGTTAGGACTGCTAAACAGTCAAAGCAGCAGAGAAAAGAACCAAAGACAAAGAAAACATCTGACTTTGAGGTTAGTACTAGCAATACAGGTCTGAACGACGGAAAGGATCATGACAGTGCTGACAAGGAAACGGAGAATGAGTTTTCAACTGAGAAGGGACTCTCGTCTGGAGCAAAATCTATTTTGCACTCTCTGATGTGGGAACGTGTCATATTGGATGAGGTGGGTGTTACTGTTACATGTTTTGTTTTTCTTATGCATTTATTTTATTTTATATTTTATGTGATTCCATTTTCTTTGCAAGAGCAACCTTTGGTAATCAGGATTGAGGGCTACGAACCAGAGGTTGCTCTTGCAAAGACGTTTTCCTACGCTCCTCTGCTTGTTGGTGGATATTAATGCACTTGCTTTTAATTGTTACGCATAAAACATTTTTTATGATTATTATATTTATATTTCTGTCTCATTCACCTGGGATCAACTTGTTCATTTTCATGCAATCAACTGTTGAGTTGTAATTTCCTCAATTTTTGGTGTTTAATATTTGATCTTAATCATCCAATGTATGTCTTTTGCTATCTGCCTTGTAAACATCTCATTTCATACCTTGTGGTATGACCCTTTTTGTGTAGGCACATTATATAAAAGAGAGACGAAGCAACACAACCAGAGCTATTTTTGCTTTACAATCTTCATATAAATGGGCTTTAAGTGGAACTCCCCTTCAGAATCGTGTGGGAGAGCTCTATTCACTTGTAAGTTATTGTTGGGAGGAGTAGTATCGTGTTAAAAAAATATTTTCAGGCCTAACAAAAGACATTTGTAATTCTTGCAGGTCCGTTTTCTCCAGATAGTTCCTTACTCTTATTATTTCTGCAAGGACTGTGATTGCCGCACTCTTGATTACAGGTATTGCTTAAGCATTTCCATAATGCTACTGCTGTATAGCATTGTTTTATTATTACGAATTAATAACCTCCATTTATATACATCAGCATTTATCGATTTCGAGTTGAGTAAATTTATGATTAGGCACTAAAACCACCACGAAAGAGATACCTTACTTCAGTCTTTTCCTTCCTTTATTTTTAGCCAGCCTTGTTCGTTGCCACATTGTAATTTTCAATACTCTATTAAAAAACAAAAGATATCTAAACCTTGCGTATGATACAGTACCTCAGCAGAATGTTCAGGCTGTGCTCATAAAAATGTTCGGCATTTCTGCTGGTGGAATAAAGTAAGTAGTTCAACTAATACTATTAGAATTTATTTTAAAGCTAGTTTCATATTTTAGGTGATGTAATGTTGAGACTGTAATTACATTTCCCGTTTCAGTATATTTCCTCACCAATACAAGATTCTGGAAACAATGGGGGTGGTAGAGGAGCTATGCTTTTGTTAAAGCATAAAATTTTGCGGAGCGCAGTGTTGAGACGTACCAAAAAGGGAAGAGCAGCTGATCTTGCACTTCCTCCTAGAATTGTACGTTTTTTATGTTGAAATATTTAAATTGAAGATTAGTTTGTTTGTAGTACAAGTGTGATAAGGATCTGTTAAAATTCAGGTTACTTTGAGACGGGATTCTCTGGATGTTGTTGAAGAAGATTATTATACAGCATTGTACAACGAGAGTCAGGCACAGTTTAATACGTATGTCATCTATTTCTCCGCCATTATATCTTCATTTACACATTGTTTTGACATTGTTTTATTTTCTTCCTTGGGGAGCTACAGTATTTCAGTGCAAGTCTGTCTGAACAGTTATTTGGAACCAATTCATTTTGCCTTTCTGCTCACTTTTGCCTGGAGTTTCTTTATGGTGCTTATGTTACTGAAGGTTTAATTCTGTTGTTATACCATATTATTTTCTATGTGCAGATATATCGAAGCAGGAACAGTGTCGAATAACTATGCCCACATATTTGATCTCTTGACGCGCCTTCGACAGGTAAAATTCAATTTGCTCCTCTTGATTTAGTCTCTGTTAGGAAAACACTACCCTTTCCGTTTTAAGAAAACTGTGTGTGCTAGTAGAATTTGCCGAGAGTTAATTTGTTAACATGCTAAACTGTTGTTGTCTAGTGCATCAAGAAAATCATGCATGCAGGCAATATTTGATTGCTCTTTCTTATCGCAACGCAGGCAGTTGATCATCCTTACCTTGTGGAATATTCTCTTACTGCGATGGAAAGAAAGGGTAAAACTGTTGACACCAGCAATGATGAAAAATGTAGCGTATGTAACGACCCTGAAGAAGATACTGTGGTGAGTTGTTATTTTGATACAATTCATTTGACTTAACGTTTGAAGTTGCGCATGGATAATTAAGTCTCTTATCTCTTTTATAACTCATCTCCATTTCTGTTGTTTCAAAATCTTTTTCGACTATCATTTTGCCACCTCATCAGGTCACATCGTGCGGACATGTCTTCTGCAAGCCTTGTTTGATTGATCTTGGTGCTACCATGGGACAAAACTCATGTCCTTCTTGTTCAAAGCCACTTACTGTTGATTTCACCTCCAATAAAGATGTCAAGGACCAGATTTCAAAAACAACCATTAAAGGATTTCGCCCGTCAAGTATTCTGAATCGAATTCAGATCAATGACTTTCAGACAAGTACAAAAATAGATGCTTTGGTATGTTCAATTTGAATTATCCCCTCGTTTAGTTATTCATTTTTTTTTCAATTGTATCTAAAGATGTTTAAATTAAGCATATTTGTTCCATTGGTCCTTGTTTTTTCTTACTTTTTTTTGGTTATATGGTAGACATTACCGTAAATGTGTCTGTATGCATTTAGTCTTGTGTTTCGTAAGTTTGTACTACTAATTATACTTCACATATGATGCATAATTTATCAATTGTTTCCTCCTGATTTGTTTTTTAAAAAAAAGTGAGCTTTTAGTTTGTCATCGTGTAACATATGTTCATGTCGTATTTGCTTATTTTCGGATTTACTTAATTGCAGAGGGAAGAAATCAGATGTATGGTTGAGAGGGACGGTTCTGCCAAGGGAATTGTCTTCAGCCAATTCTCATCGTTTTTGGATCTCATACATTACGCCCTTCTAAAGGTACACAATATGTGAAAAACGTGGTTTTTATTATCATATTTCAATATTATAGGTAAGAAAATAACTCTAATGAATTGTGTTTCTTTATTACAGTCTGGAGTGACCTGTGTTAAGTTAGACGGGTCCATGTCTATGGGAGCAAGAGATGTTGCTATTAAACGATTTACAGAAGATCCCGATTGCAGAATATTCCTCATGAGCTTGAAAGCAGGGGGTGTTGCCCTCAATCTCACTGTAGCATCACATGTAAGTCTCTGTTTTATTTAATGTAGAGATGAGTGAAAAATACAATTTTCATCCCTCAAGTTTGCACCGATTTCACATTTGCTCCCCCATGTTCACAAAAAAACACATTTGGTCCCTCATATTTCAAAAATTCAACGTTTATAGTCCTTTCCGTCAATTTTCCGTTAATGCTAACGGACTAACTGTGAATTGACAGAAATGACCAAAAGTGTCAAATTATTGAAACATGAGGGACCAAATGTGTTTTTTGTGAACATTGGGGACCAAATGTGAAATCGTTGCAACCTTGAGGGATGAAAACTGTAAATTTTCCTAGAGATGATGTAATTTATCTGCAGTTATTCTTCTCTTGTTCATGCACCTCTTAATTCCTTCTCAATTGGATTTTCCGGATACAGCTTGTGTCGAATAGCACACTTTCCTATTTGGCTTCACAATATCTTCCTCGTCAAATTTAAGATGTCTGAAATGATTTATTGGACTTGTATGATTTTTCTCTTTCTTCAGTCAAACCGCTTAAATTGATGGTTGTATATTAAATGTCTGTCTCTAGGTTTTCTTGATGGATCCGTGGTGGAATCCGGCCGTGGAGCGGCAAGCTCAGGATAGAATACATCGAATCGGCCAATATAAGCCAATCAGGTAATTTAAACAATTCATTTTTTTTGCCTAAACATTTCGTATAATTTTATAGGTAGTGCATATACGTGTCAACGAGTAATGGTTTCGCTCTATTCTCCTCCACTTTGTAGGATCGTGAGATTTATCATAGAAAATACAATCGAGGAGAGGATTTTGAAGTTGCAAGAGAAGAAGGAACTAGTGTTTGAAGGGTAAGTTCAAATTCTTACTAAGTTGAAATTCATCTCTTTGTATTTTATTTTCGTTTTTTCGTAAACGGGGTTATATTACTGCAGGACTGTGGGTGGTTGTTCGGAGGCTCTAGCAAAACTAACAGAAGCTGATTTGAGATTCCTGTTTGTGACCTAATAAATAAGCTGTATCAGCTTCTTGTACAAGTTTTTTGTCTCCCTGGATTTTGTTGTTGTTTCCAATTTTTGTAGTTTTGTTTTTGCAGCCCAAATTGGTTTTGAAATCAGTTTTTGCTTTTGGGCCACAAATTGTATCAATGTATGAAGTTTCTGTGACAAATTAAGTGATTCACTATTTTGTGGATGCATCTGTTTTTTATGCCAAGAGATTAATGATAAACATTAACTATGTTTAAAACCTTAACTACATCAAGATTGATACTAATTAACACCTAAGTTTGATTAGTGTGCATGTCTTATGTTATACATTTAATTACGCGTTGTGTTTGGCTAAGCTTACACGTGGTTAAAAAGAGCTTATAAGCTCTTTTATTGTGCTTGATAATTTAAAAAAAATCTTAAAAATTCAAAAAATAAGCTGCTGGAGAGTTTTTAAGATCTTTAAAAAGTATCTATAATCCATCTTTTTACTTAAATCCAAACACTTCAAAAAATATTAAAAAAATAAGATGTATCAGTTTATCAACTCTTAAAACAACTTATCAAACGTTATTAGAATTCACACTCAAAAGTTATTCATAGGAAATATTTACCTTTTCATTTTTTCAACTTATGTAGCGAAGATCACATTAATTTAAAACGGATGAAGTATGTACATAGGACAAGGTCAATCGGGAAACGAAGCTCATGGCTTGTGTTAATTAACTTATGCAAGAAAATTGGAAAGTTGAGGGGACAAGGATTCCTCAAATAAGTGCAGATGCTAATAGTGTGAGGAGGTCCAAAATATGTATTGCACGAATACTTAAAAACATAAAACACCATTCATATTTTTGTCATTCATGCAAACTTAATGTGGGACAAGATCCTAGGCTTAAATTATGGTGACGAGGAAAATAATGATCCTCTAACATTCGCATGATGTTTTAAAAACATAAACCCCGCCTATTTTTTGCCGTTCATGTAATATCCTCTCACCCTGTAAATCGTCGAAGTTCGGGCTTCTTATTAATATGTGAAAGTAATTATAGTCGCTTTTCAGAATATTTGCAAACGCCAGACTTTTTACTATAAACAATTATTTTATGTTTATATTAATCTCTTTTTCAGCATCATAAATACATCAAATGTATAAAATGAAACACCATTTGCAAGTGTTAGCAATTTTCTCACTATTTATAATAATTAGAGAAATCTAAAACCTAATTAGAATTTCATAGTAAAATTCAAATGCATGTACATCATGAAACTTTTTGGATAAGGAAAATGGGAATAAGCATTTAGTTTGATAAATCATTTATCTTTCTTTTTCTAATGTCGCGTTGTCTTTTCCGTTCTTCCTTTTAGGTTGGAGTGAAAACCAGATGGATCGGATTAAAATTAACATTTTTTTTTATTTGATTTTAAATTTGTTGAAAAAAATAAATTATGTTCAAATTTTCTTTGTCAAAAAATAATATCGGAATACGCAATTTCATAAATGAGGAGATAATTTATTCGAAAACTAAAAAAAAAATCGGATCAAAATTGGCATATTCAGAAACTGTCTAATTATCCATGCACCCATAGTATAAAATATATATTGATATTATAAGCGTAATTTTTATAAGAAAAAAAGAAATTGGAATCCTTGAAATTATTTTTCAAAATTAAAATATAATTGAAAATTGCAATATATATATCATATTTTTCGTATCAAATTGACCGAACTCAATATTTTGGTTCTAATTTTCATCCATAATTTAATTTTAGATTACACAAAAGCTTCAACATTAAAAGGCCGATCAAATCCTTTATTTTTATCATAAAACTAGTGGAAATAAAGTACGATACAATTATGAAAATAAATAAAGGCAAAAAATAATTAATGAATTGTACCATAATTAGGGAATCATGATTGTTTTTTGGCTTGTTTTGTACCACTTGTAGTGATGACCAATTTTGTAGGCTTTTTATTATAAAAAAGTTCCCAAATTGAAGTACTAAAATACAATGAAGAGACCGTGAAACTTGCTTGAGTCACCGATTGCATAAGCCACATTATCTTCTTTATTCAACTTTTTTTAATCATTTCTGCATATAATAATTGAGAAAATTCGAAGAGTGAAAGTTGGCAATGGTATGGCCTGCGTGAACCCTCTTACAAGATGATGACCAATAAATTCTAAATTTATAAATAGTGTGTGTCAAGTGTTCAACTTTAATTTTAATTTGAGAGATATCAATAGGATCGGTGGCAGATCGGTGGCAGAGTCAGCATATGGTCGGGGGCCATGGCCCCACAATATTTCTCAAATCCTATTATTTTATATAAAGATTTAAAAAAAAAAATCATGCACAAAAGCATTTTCGGCTTCTTCAGATTTTTTTTAATGCATTCGCACCCCTCGGACATAAAATCCTAGTTCCGTTAGTGCATATACATTACTTATAGTGTATATATAGTAATCCTTGATTTTTATATATTTTTCCTAAATGAAAAGTCGAATGTGAAATAAATTCATTATTTATCTAAGTACGTTACTGCAGATCTTGTAGATATTACATCGAATTAATTAAACAAAACATACGCACATTATAGCTTCTGAGTAGGGGTAAATATTGGACATATTGGATAATAGTTAACATTTTCGTAATTTTTTGTTTAAGCAAAAATATAATTTCAATTATATATAAAATTCTTGCGTTGAAATTTTCGGATCAGAATTGGCAGATCAAGATTTAGATATTCCGAGCGAAATTACCACTAAAGGTTGCACAATTAAGAGTCTTATACTCTTGAATATTGATATAATATGAATCTTTTGAGAAAATTGGAAATTTGTGTGTGAATTTCACAAGTATTAATAACCAATGCATTGATAATTTGTTGTGTTAGATTGCACTATATCTTATATAGGTTATCAATTAACCGATTTAAATATAACTTTTATAATAATAAAATATAAAATATATTGTGCAATAGCTGCTGCATGCAATGATTACTCCAATACCAAATTTGGATAGAATAATTTATATATTAGATTTACAATTAATATGCATGAAATAGTGTTGTAACTTTAAATGAGAAGAAATTGGAAGCAAGCCCACACAAACTAAACGGCTTCTAAAAATAGCAAAGACAAGGTGCACTGTTTTTGCGAGATTCCGGATAAAGTAAACCGACTATTACAATAATCCCATGTTAATTTCCAGCTGGAATTTTAATATTTTTCTTATTCTTAATTGATGTTCAATTTCTTTTTTGGTAATATGTTAGGTGTATGAATTTTTATTTTTATTTTGAAAGTTAGGTGTATGATTTTTGTTTCATAATAGATCATGTCTTAGTATTCCAAAATGAATAATCCTCCATGCGGTTCAAATTAATTGTTGCTTTGGAGAATTTTTTTTTGTTTCATGTATGTTATCTGTACAATAATTACTATTTTATCAATTTTGCCCTCACACCTCTTAAGTAATTGGAAGAAAGTTAATGTAAATAAAATTAATAATCTGGCTATTTTAGTAATACTACATATTGTTTTTTTCTAAAATTCATGCATATTTATTAAGTTTCTTAATATGTGCGCAACAACCCAAAGCGACACTTATTTTGAGACGGAGGGAGTATTTTTTAAGGTGCAAAGTGAGTTCGAACTTGCTATACTTACTATTAGTCCATTTGTAATTTGCTATAGCATGATCGAATATGGATTGAGCCGTGAATCGATATGTGGTCAACAAACCGATTAGACTATGGATGGTTGACCTCAAACCCTCAACCGGTTATTTGATAGTATGATTAAATTTGCAATTAACGTAAACCAATCGTTACACATTTTCTTTAACAACCCTGATCTTATTAAATGACCATTATCGAAGGTCGATTCATCGACAATTCAATCATTCAATTAAAAAAAAGTTAACGTTAGTCGAAATTTGAACCACTCAATTGATATGTTTAGTTGCACATCTTTGATAGTCCTTACAATTAAGAGTCGGGATAAGTCAAAACCCATGAACCGACGTTTCTGACCTGAGAACTTCCGATTTTTTAATCACGATCGGGCCTACTAGTATTGTCATGCCCGCGAGACAACCTTAAGAGTATTTATTTTTAAGAAAATATTGTAAATTAAAGATATGTCTACTATTCTTATTGTAAATATAATTAATTAAGATACCAATACTAAAACAAAATAATAATAATGTGATTGTATTTGATATGTTAAGGATGATAAATACGATTATTCTAGAACATTACTAGTTAGAAGCAAGACCAAATGAAATGTAAACAATTTTATATTGATCAAATAACACAAATTATGATCAACACAAAACTTCCAAAAGAGAGTTTCAAACACATTCACAAACCAAATGAACAAACATGCTACTTGGTTGGAATAATACAACATTCTAATAATACAACATAATGCCTTAATGGGGAAAGTCTTTCATGAACTAACACAAACAATCTAAGACTAACAAATCCTACAAATCCAACTTAAAATAGACAAAATTTAAAAGACAAATCTTTCAAATCTCTGTCCACCTAAATTTGAAAATCTCCAATATATTGCATATATAGTACCAACTTTAGTAAATACTAGGCATGTTGTTCCACATGAAGGATCCTCCAAAGTTCCAATCTTGATTCGCTGCGCCATTCGAGTTTGCAACCGGGTTGTACTGCGGAGCAACAAGTTGACTTTCTACCGCCCCGTTTGAACCATCGGTCAAACATGGCGATTCATTGCCAATTTCTTCGTCCCAATTTGGAATCGGCACGGATAATGGGAAATTATCTAGAAGGTTCAATAAATCATCGTCCATAGAAGATCCGCCTTCTCCGGAGGCCTTATTTTCCGCCCCTGCGACAAGCCACGTGTTATAAAAAAACGTGTAACAACGTATTGAAATGCATCGAAATATTCAAAATAAATTAGGTCGTAATAAAAGACTTCAATCGAGACTTATTGGATTGTACGATAGTAAATCGCGTCACGTTTATTTTATGGGTTTATCGCATGCCGACCCCTTGTATTTCTCTCTACTTATTTAGAAAACATTCCATGTTATTTTATTAGCAAAAGCCCTAATAATTCAAATCTTCTAGCAAACCACCCCTTTAAATGTACTTTTTAGAGGGTTATGTGCTATAATAAATGCTTTATAATTTGATGGGTTTTTTTGCTAATATTTATAACACATAGATCTTTTTAGCAATTGGGTATAGGGACACTAAATCAATTTAGGAATAACAACATTTATTTCAATTAAATACATAATTCACAATTAGAACTTAATAAATATTGGGAAATTCTATGCTACACCCCATTATTAACACCAGATGATTGTTAACGTAGATTTACACATAATCACACACACCCATATGTATGTGTGTTTAGTACTGGATGATTATTTAACCTCATCCGTGGTTAACAAATACCCGATGTAAATAACCCGATGCAGCATATAACTTTCCAATATTTATGCATCAATTCAACTAAAAAAGATTTTCATCAAATCATATATGTAAGAAAGAGTGCATACCTTCATCAAAACCAAAGGCATCTGCATTAGCATGCAAATTTCCATCTTCTGCAATGAAAGAATCCTCTGTTTTTCCAGCCAAAGCTTGAGATTCACCCAATAAATCCTCCAACAAACCACTCTTTTTATTACACCGTTCGAAGCCCGTTTCAACCTCGTAATAATCCTCGGCACAGTCACTCGAACCTGGCGTCGTAGTCGTCATAACAAAGTCGCTTGAAGAAGCCACTGGAGATTGGATTGAAGGCAGCCCGAATACACCCATGTCAGGGCCCGAATTAATACCGTAGTTTAAAGAATTATTAAATTGAAGATTAAACGAGGGCTTTGGCAAAGGCGTGTGGTTGAAAAACGGGGCGGCGGAAAGAGTTGGCGAAGAAAACGAAGAATTCGAGGCCGATAAAGATAGGGATATGCTGCCGTTATTGTTGTCGTTGTAGAGCTTCATTTGGTTGTTGATGTATGGAGTGTTGTAGTTAGCCTGGTTTTGTGGGGAGGTGAACATTTCGTAGAAACTTAACGGATTTGGGTTCGGGTTCGGGTTCGGGTTCGGGTTTGGGATCGGGTTCGGGCTTGGGTTCGGGTTTGGGAGATGGGCTGAGACTAAGTATGAAGATAGTGGTGGTGGTGGTGGTGAAGAGTTGAGTTGCTGCTTGTGTTGATTTTCGTGAGGGTAAATTGGTAATCCTGCACGTTGGCGCCGCTTCAGTCTTGTGTTCCAATAGTTCTTGATTTCGTTGTCTGTTCTTCCAGGTATCTGTATGTATTTATGTATATATATATATATACACATGTGAAGAAATTAGTGAATAATTAAGACCTAATTCAACTGAATACAAACAGAGTTATATATATAATTAGATATATATACACACAACTGTCATTTTCAGGTAAACAGATAACAAACAAATGTCAGGATTTCAGAATCAATCTACGACAACTGAATAGAAACAGAGTTATGCATAGAGAGAGAGAGAGAGAGAGAGAGAGAGAGAGAGAGAGAGAGAGAGAGAGAGAGAGAGAGAACAAAGACCTGAGAAGCCATGCGAGCCCATTTGTTGCCATACTTGGCATGAAGTTCGACGATGAGTTTCTCTTCATCGGCAGAGAAAGCACCTTTCTTAAGATTAGGCCTCAAATGATTAGCCCATCGGAGCCGACAGCTCTTCCCGCATCTCGAAAGCCCCGAATTCCTCTGGACAGCATTCCAATTCCCCTCGCCGTGATTCTTAACGTATTCGATTAAGGTCGAGTCCTCGTTCGATGTCCACGGCCCTTTCTTCAGCCCATTTCTGCTCTTCACAGCTGCTATTGGTGTTTCTCTTAAACCTCCTCCACAACCATTTCGTGCCATAACACTTAGTTTTTTTTTTTTCTTGTTTTTTGGGTTTCCAATGGGAAGAAATGATGAACAAATTAAGAAGAGGTGTAAGGATTAGAGAGAGATGGAGGAGAGAGATGAAATGTAAGAGAGAGAGAGAGAGAGAGAGAGAGAGAGAGAGAGAGAGAGAGAGAGGATCAAAAGTTGAGTAAGGAAAAATGGGGGCTGTGAGAATTTATAGGTGAAGCCTTGTAAATAGGCCCCGGGATGAATGCTCCTCCATTATGCAATGTGTTTTTCAATATTATGTCAAATGATTTTCTTTTCTTTTTTTTTTTTTTTGTCTTAACATAAATCATTGTATTTGCAAGTTTTGTAATGAATATATGATTCCTTTTTTTCTTTTTTTTCTCCCTCAATAGAATTGTGACAATTTTCGTGGCGGTATTCGGTGTGTGTCGTTTACGATGGGATTTCGACAACTTTCACGTAAATCGTGCAGCGCGTGTTCAAAATTCACTTCTGCAAATTCCGTGTTTTATTTTACTTACCTTTTATTGGTAGAGTGTAATGATTTCAGTTACCGTTTTATGTTGTCGATAGCACCAAACGTTTGATTTTTAAATTTTTGCATTGTGTGCGTTGGCGCGGACGATTTAATGGGATGAACGGAATTTCGTTTAGGATTAAATATATTTTAGCCACATTTGATACTATATGATAATTATGTTACATAGCGATCCTATCATACTATTTGGAGAAAATCAGAAAATTGACATTTTTTTCTATTCAAAGAACCTGCGGCCAACCATATAAGTGCACTGAATAAACCTACACTCTCGTGTAGTAGCTTGCAAATTATACGAAAGATGTAAATAACACTAAATTCAGAAATTGACATTTAATTGAAGGGAACAAGAACAAACATAAAAGCACTCTAATATCTATCTATGTGTTAAATCTATCATTTCTCTGTAACTTCTGTTACAAATTATAGTACAAAATGAATAACCATCACTACAAATATATTTTGTTGCATAAACTTTAAACTATGTTCACCAATTTGGGCCTATGCATTTATCATCTTTAATATTAAGGCCCAATGTTGTATGGGTATTAGGTTGTGACTCGGCCTCGGCCCAATATATGAGCTTTACTAATGATGTTGTACCAAAAGGCGAAATCCCTTGCCCCAGGATCCTCATCCCTTGGTCCGATAAGTATTTGATGGATGAATGTAAATTATGGCGACTTAACGGCCCGTTAAGGTAGCGGACCCGGATCCGGTGCCCATAAGAAACCAACCCTCATTGGAGTTGAAATTCCTACATTGCGACTTTCAAGATTCAATCCTAGGACCTTGTACCAACTTACCACCTCCGGAACGTTGAGCTATACCCATGCGGGAGCTTTACCCGTCATGAAAGAACAAGAAAGAGACATAAAGAAAGGAATTGCAGAATCTCATTTACCATTGATTTTCTCTTGTGTACAGGCCCGGCTATGAGGGAAGACGACCAAGACGGTCGCCTAGGGCCCCCGATTTTTTACGAATTTTAGGTGGCCCCAATTCTAAAAAATTAGTCCTTATGTATTAGTATTTGTTGATAATATATATTTAAGGGCCCTTATTATTAAACAAATTATAACCATACAAATAATTTACACTTATTTTTTAAATATTCCAAAATATAAATTAAGAATTCAAATCAAAATTTTCATAGTAAAAGATTTAATCTTTCTTTTTGTTTATGGTACTTTTTTTTTTCAGTGGTATGAGTAGTCATAACTCGATTATTTGAAATGCTAACTAACATATATTAATTTTGCCTAATTTATTTGTTTCTTAGATGTTATTAATTTTTATAGTTTTGTTTGATATTAAAATATTGTTCCATACAATATAGTATGCACTTATTTTTGTTTCTTAGATGTATTTAATCTTTATAGTTTTGTTTTCTTCCAAGATTAAAAAATTAAGTAGTTTTCGATAATATTTTATAAATATGAGTTTTTTGCCCCCTGTGTGTTTTAGTTATAGAGTTTAGCCACATAATTGTTTTGTTTAATTAGTTCATACTCTTTTATAAATAGATTAGATTTATTTTATATTTAGCATTGCAGTAAAAAATATTATGTTTAAAACCCTATAGATATTTTTACCAAAATTTGACATTTTTTTTCCCGAATATTTTAACCTACACCACCATATTATTTCAAAAAAAAAAAAAAAAAAAAAAACCATCATTGCCCCTACTAGGGGCCCCATTTCAACAAGGTCTACAAAGTTCGCCTTGGGCCCCCAAAATATCCTAGGAACGTGCGTGCTTGTGTACGGTTAAGTGAGGAACCATTGATAGAGGCTTAGTTAGGATATCTACTATTTGATCTTTGCTGGATAGAGCGATTTGTTGTGAATGTGATCCCGAACAAAATAATGCAAATCACCCTAGTTTTTAAGAGGAAAATCACCACTGAGCACTACATCAACACCTAAAATAGGAGAAATTAAATACTACATCTAGTTATTTATAATAGGTTGATTCAAACTGTAAATCTATATGCAATCACACACACATTCCTGTGTATGTGTGTGTAGTGAGTAGTTATTTAATCAAATGTACGGTTCAAATCCATTCGATGTAAATAACCAAGTGCACCATCTAACTCTCCCCCAATGTATACCACAATTTACTACACAAGTCACCTATGATCAAAACAGACAGCTAAAAGACAACATTTTAAATTATCGAAGAACAGAAACAAGCCTCAGTGTTCTTGCTTTGTTCATTTCTTCAACACGGGATTAACCATCAGACCATCGGTCGATGTAACTGATATTTAGCTGCTCATAGATTCATTGTACACAAATTAGACCGTTAAACTTAGTAAGGAGATTAAAGAAACTAATAATTAACGGCCAAGTTACAAATAAGACTACAAATATAGATAACTCCATGAACACCAGCCTCAATTTTCTTTTAGCATTGAATTTGTCTTTAGGCCATCTATTAGAGCAGAATTCGATGTAAGAGATGCCTTCAGTATGCTTAAACCCTGCACCAAAAAAACAAATATCGACGCGCAAGTTAACATATATTTAAACGAAACATAAAAGTTGAATACATTCACATTACCTCTTGTAATCCAATATGCACCTCAACTTCTCTTGCATCAGACAAAGGGACTTTCATCTCATTTAGAATAGAAAGAGTCGAGTACATATACAGAGGAGTGACGGTTAAATCATCATTGACCATATACATTGTCGGTCCACCTTCTCTAACATAACTTCCCATTCTTTCCGGAAACTCAACAACAAGACCATCTCTTACCTCATTCCAAATGCTCTCCGATATCCATTCTGTATCAAGGGTTACGCCTTGGTGGTAATACAATGTAGGAGCAATTTCTTCCCTCAGAGGTAAAATCGTGTTTTTGGACATATAACCATGAGGCAGCGTAGGATTGTGATATGCCTAATTGGGCCAACCCAATGGGCCTACAATTTCTTTACCTACTGGGCTACGAGCCCAATATCGAAGACCAATATCACCGAGGCCCAAACACCTTCAAGTAAGGCTTAGGCCCAACAAAGCAAACCCAACCCAATAAACGACATATAAATAGAGGTTTTACTCATTTTATTAAGGTACGTCCTATTAACTGAGCAATACTACAATACGTATTCTCTGGACTATTTCTATGATCAGCACGTCTGACTTGAGCGTCGGAGGGGTTTCCGCCGGATCAACCCCCGGCGTAGTTCACGTGTGTTCATTTCGCAGGTACCTCAGGATCATCAAGTTGTCAAGCTACTGATCTGCTTTGCTCTCCCAGTTCGTTTTCTACACTACCCTAGGTGAGCTACATTTTAGCATCATCATTTTGGCGCCGTCTGTGGGAACGATGCAAACCAGATCACGTAGCCAACAAGATCCTCCTGAGGCGTCTGCTCGGAGAGAGAAGGACACGGCAAACGACCTCCCACCTCGTGGAGGCTCTGGCTTGCCACCTCCTCCACATCCCATGGATCCGCCTCGCGAGCTTCAGGTGATCCCCCTTGGGGACCAACCACTCGCCGATCCACCGCTCCCTGCTCCTCGAATGGTTCAAATAACCGAGGATGCGCTTCAACGCATGATAGCAGAAACTTCAACTCGCGCTGCCATAGAGGCCGTGACCCAATATATCGCCACGATGGGAGCAAATGCTCCCAACGCGATATCAGCACCTGCTCCACATGTGGAGCCATCTATGGCACCACCGCCGTCGACCCCCTGGGGGCTTACATATGCCCCCAAAATATTTCGCTCGCCAAGGGTTATCGACTCCCTGGGGGCTTACATCTGCCCCCAAAATATTTCGCTCGCCAAGGGTTATCAACTCCCTGGGGGCTTACATCGCCCCCAAAATATTTCGTTCGCCAAGGGTTATCGACTCCCTGGGGGCTTACATCTGCCCCCAAAATATTTCGTTCGCCAAGGGTTATCGACTCCCTGGGGGTCACATCGCCCCCAAAACATTTCATTCGTCATAGCAGGAGCCAACGCTCCTCCTCGTGAGGCCCACTGGGTCCTCAACATGATCAATTTCTACTTAATTCTCGAACGGTTCAGATAACCGAAGAAGACCTTCAGCGTATGATCACGGAAGATTCAACTCGTGCTGCCACTGAATCAGTGGCACCATATATCGCCAAGGTGGGGCATCTCACCCCAGTGGTTCGTGATCGCCTCATCCTAAATGGGGGGCTATCCCATCCTAAAGTTGGGCATCACATCTCAAGGGTGGTACATCCACTTACCTTTCAACCCCAAGGGGTTTCACATCCCATCAAGTGTTTCACGTCCCTAGTTCAAAAACAGAAAAAATGGTATGACGCGCACGCGCGAACCAATGGCGCAACCATGCGCATCCACCTCAGACCATAGGTCTCGAACGCCTCATCCTACAGTGGGCAGTTATCCCCATCCTAAGGTTGGGCATCACCCTTACCTTTCAACCCTAAGTGGGTTCACATCACATCTCAAGAGACGAGTATAAACTCACTACTCAAAAAATAGAACATCCCCAAGGGGGTGCACATCCGATCTCAAGGAACGAGGATAATCTCCATACTCAAAAAATAGAACATCCCCAAGGGGGTGCACATCCCATCTCAAGGAACGAGGATAATCTCCCTACTCAAAAAATAGAACATCCCCAAGGGGGTGCACATCCGATCTCAAGGAACGAGGATAATCTCCCTACTCAAAAAATAGAACATCCCCAAGGGGGTGCACATCCCATCTCAAGGAACGAGGATAATCTCCCTACTCAAAAAATAGAACATCCCCAAGGGGGCGCACATCCGATCTCAAGGAACGAGGATAATCTCCCTACTAAAAAAATAGAACATCCCCAAGGGGGTGCACATTCCATCTCAAGGAACGAGGGTAATATCCCTATTCAAAAAATAAAACATCCCCAAGGGGGTGAATATCAACCAAATAAAAGCAAATAGAAAAAAAAAAAAGAGAATGAAAAAAGAGAAGAAGAAAGAAGAAGAAGAAAGAAGACGAAGAAAAAAGAAAAGAAAAGAGAAGAAGAAAGAAGAAGAAAAAAGAAGATGAAAAAATAGAAGAAAAAAGAAGAAGATGAAAAAAGACAAGAAGAAAGAAGGAAAAATACAAGAAAAAAAAAAAAAAAAAAAAGGAGGCGCGCCTGCAGTGCACGCGCGCGCTGACGTCAGCAAAAAAAAAAAAAAAAAAAAAAAAATAGCTGGAGGCGCGCGTGCACAGCACGCGCGCGTGGCTAACACGCGCCGGACGCGCGCGCGTGCACAACACGCGCCACAGCAAAAAAAAAAAAAAAAAAAAAAAAACAGGTGGAGGCGCGCGTGCACCGCGCGCGCGCGTGGAGTACACGCGCTGACGCGCGCGCGCGTCAGCAGGAAGAAAAAAAAAAAAAAAAAAAATACTTGGAGCGCGCGCGAGCACGTGCGCGCGCTTTCCAAGACACCCTTGGACTGCGCGCTCCTATCAGATCGCGCGCAACTTTGTCTACTCTCTACCAAATTGCGCGTAGATTTTGACTCGCTTCTCCAAATCGCACGAGAATTTCAACGCGCTCCACCACATTCCGCGAGCTCTTTAACGCACCTACCAAATGGCGTTCGCTATCAAATGGAAAATAAAAAAAAAAAAAAAAATTATTTCTCCACGCCATGCCAACGATTAACGCAAGACTACAACACCGATCTACTCTCAATACGATCCGGTACCCCTTTCAACTTGGCTCCCACATCGTCTCGAGAGAGGGGGGCTTGCGAGACAACTTCCAAGAGGAGCCAACTCGCTCAGTACTACCACCCGTTGCGAGATAACTCCCACGAGGAGCCAACTCCCTCGGGTCTACGAAACCATAGCGAGATAACTCCCACGAGGAGACCACTCGCTCCGTCTTATAACCCGTTGTGAGATAACTCCCACGGGGAGCCAACTCCCTCGGGTCCACGAACCCATAGCGAGATAACTCCTACGAGGAGACCACTCGCTCCACCCTACGACCCGCAGCGAGGAAACTCCCACGAGGAGCCAACTCGCTCGGTTCCACGAACCCACAGCGAGATAACTCCCACGAGGAGACCACTCGCTCCATCCTATCACCCGTTGTGAGGCAACTCCCACGAGGAGTCAACTCCCTCGGGTCCACGAACCCACAGCGAGATAACTCCTACGAGGAGACCACTCGCTCCATCCTACGACCCGCAGCGAGGAAACTCCCACGAGGAGCCAACTCGCTCGGTCCTACGAACAGCGAGATAACTCCTACGAGGAGACCACTCGCTCCATCCTACGACCCACAACGAGGAAACTCCCACGAGGAGCCAACTCGCTCGGTCCTACGAACCCACAGCGAGATAACTCCTACGAGGAGACCACTCGCTCAATCCTATAACCCGTTGCGAGGTAATTCCCACGAGGAGTCAACTACCTCGGGTCTCATAACCACAACGAGATAACTCCCACGAGGAGACCACTCGCTCCGTCCCACAATTCACAGCGAGACAACTCCCACGAGGAGCCAACTCGCTCGGTACTGCAAACCGCAGCGAGACAAGTCCCACGAGGAGCCAACTCGCTCAGTAATACAACCCGCAGCGAGACAACTCCCACGAGGAGACAACTCGCTCGGCCATACAACCCGTTTCGAGATAACTCCCACGAGGAGACAATTCGCTCAGAGCGACCTCAGTCCGCGCGCTCCTCAGTCGCGCGCCATCCGATGCTTTTACAACTGCCCTGCGAGACAACTCCCACGAGGAGCCAACTCGTGCAGTAATACAACCCGCAGCGAGACAACTCCCACGAGGAGACAACTCGCTCGGTCCTACAACCTCTTACAAGGAAACTCCCACGAGGAGCCAACCCCCTCGGGTCTCAAAACCACAGCGAGATAACTCCCACGAGGAGATCATTCGCTCCGTCCTATAACCCGTTGGGACAACTCCCACGAGGAGCTAACCCCCTCTAGTCTTAAAACTACACCGAGATAACTCCCACGAGGAGTCCACTCGCTCAATCCTACAACCCGTTGCGAGACAACTCCCACGAGGAGCCAACTCCCTCGGATCTCAACACCACAGCGTGACAACTCCCACGTGCAACCACCTCACTCGATAAATATTACTCACCGCGAGACAACTCCCATGAGGAGACAACTCGCCCGAAATTCACTATATAATCACAAGCTCAAGTTAGCACGATTACAACCCTAGAAGCACTTAGAGACATTATGAGAATCTATATAGCCTGGCCAGCTTGATTACTCAAAAATATCTACTTGTTTTTCGATGGGTCATTCATTAAAACGTGGCCACGGTCCAAACATACTTAAGACCCACGAGGTCTAACAAGGGGCACGACCCCCATAAAAAAAAAAAAATCTTGAGAGTCTGATCCCCTCCTCAAGTACATCACGCACAAGGCTATATGTAAACACATATAAGCAACGCATCAAAACATTGACAATGTCGAAAAATAACAACTCCCATGAGGAGAATACTAGCTCCGTGCTACTACATTATCGTGAGACAACATCCACGAGGACGTAACTCGATCAACTCGATTACCCCAGAGACAACTCCCACGAGGAGATTACTTGATCCGTGCTACTACATTATCGCGAGACAACTCCCACGAGGACATAACTCGATCAACACTATTACCCCGCGACAAGATAACTCCCACGAGGAGATAAATCGCTACTACATCGTCGCGAGACAAAACCGACGACTCAATTAATTTATATCGCGGCAACTTTGTCGCGCTATGCGCCAACGCGCATTCACACCCCTCCGACACACGCTCCAACGCGTTTTCGCATACCATTAGGCCATACGCCAACGATCGACTTCTACAATTTTTACTCTCGACACGATCTGAGACCCATCACAACATGGCCCCCACATCGACTCGAGAGTGGGGGGCTTAATGATATGCCTAATTGGGCCAACCCAATGGGCCTACAATTTCTTTACCTACTGGGCTACGAGCCCAATATCGAAGACCAATATCACCGAGGCCCAAACACCTTCAAGTAAGGCTTAGGCCCAACAAAGCAAACCCAACCCAATAAACGACATATAAATAGAGGTTTTACTCATTTTATTAAGGTACGTCCTATTAACTGAGCAATACTACAATACGTATTCTCTGGACTATTTCTATGATCAGCACGTCTGACTTGAGCGTCGGAGGGGTATCCGCCGGATCAACCCCCGGCGTAGTTCAGGTGTGTTCATTTCGCAGGTACCTCTGGATCATCAAGTTGTCAAGCTACTGATCTGCTTTGCTCTCCCAGTTCGTTTTCTACACTACCCTAGGTGAGCTACATTTTAGCATCATCAGATTGATAAGCCGACCTTTTGTATCTGGATTCCTCAGATACTTGTCCCCGTTAATATTTTCTAGGCTTGTGTACAAATTGTCTATGTTCTTAAGACAAGTGTTACCGCCCAAAAGATTCTCGACTCCTCCTAGAGGGATGGTCAGCAAACTAAAAAGGAAATCAATAAAATCCTCCTCGCATTGAGCAAACAATAACTCATTGGTGGATTTCTTCAGCATCAATTTCAAGATCATCTTCTTAGAGTTCGAGGAAGTTGTTGCTTCTTTCTCTGTGCCGTGAAATAAAACTCGGCCTACTGGAGGTTTTTCTTCGGAATAGTACTTCCGGTTTTCACCGAGTATGATATCAGACAATGGAGTACTCGATAGCAACGACCCTTTCAGCAAATCAATAACCTAATGCAAAAATGAATTTACATAACACAAAATTTGTTAAGGTTGTGTCCTGAATTTCTTTCTTCTTCTATTATGTTTTTATTACGCTCTTTTAAGTTGTAAACATATTTGCTTGACACCTTCAATCCCAGCCAGAAGACTTTGCAATTTTATGTTTTTGAGACGAAATTGTAGGAATAAAAGTGAATTTAGGACTAAATTAGTAAAAAAAGAAAAACAAAAAAAGGTAAGAAGGAGGGTTGATGGGATAGCATCCTCACATTTAAAAAAAAAAAAAAAAAAGGTAAATAGCATTTGACCCGCATATAGTTACAAACTTTTGTAGACGATCGCCTTGTGCATGCATGTAATATCAGCACATAATTCCTTGTGGTTGATAGGGGTATCTCTTCTATTAGTTTTTTGTCAAACGTTAAAATACTATATTTTGAAGATAAACCCCTTTAAGTTTTGCAGACGACCCCCTTGAAGTTTGACAAAAAACTAACGGACTATTTACCCAAAGAAAAAAACTACTTCGTTCAAATTAACACAAAAATCAAACAGCGGGCCAAAATTGAAATCATTATCTCTGTATAATATATCAACCAAAAGTTAAGGGAAAAAAAAAACACAATTGAGGATAAACTCACCTTATTGAACCCGAAAGCCACATTCCTTAGCTGGGCTCCATCCATGTCTGTAATTCCAAGAATGCTCAGAGTTTCCATTACAGATCCTTCCACACTAGGCACCATTTGCAAATCATCAGAAATTAAGAAATACGCTCCATTTCTCGTAAAAACTCCTCCATCATCGTAGGCGGCCGAGTCCAAAGTAGTCATATAATAGAATTCTCTTGCAACTGGTTGCCCACAATCGCATACAGCAGTATCATAGTACATGCATATATTTGACTCTCTAGAGCTGACACAGTCCAAGTCTTGACAAGCATAGTATTTGGTGGGCTTTGTGTCGTTAATATCGAGTTTCAGCTTACGGTATTCAGCTTCAAATGAGCTTCTTGGATTGAGAAGCGTCATCTTAACACCTTCCGTCGAGAAATGGCGACTGTCGAGATTTGATAGGCCGTTGTACAAACTTGTTAAGCTTCCGATATCGGCTTCTTCGTATTGATTCTCGACAAGTCTAATTATCGTCCCCAATGGCAACGTTAGGAAACTTAGTAAAACGTCTGCGAAATTGCTGTCGATTTCTGCGAATAGCACTTTGGTTGCATGTTTGTTTATCACTACTTTCAAAGTGAATTCAACTTCGTCCTTAGTATGAGACATTGTGTGTTTGAATTGCTTCAAAAAATTGGAATTAAGAAATCTGAGAAGGACAGTATAATTATAAAATATGATATCTAGATTTACTTCAACCAAATTTATAGGGACATAAAATATAGGGTAAATTCTATTTTTCCCCTTGTACTTTGGCTCGATATCACTTTACCCCCTTCTACTCTAGATTGCATCGATTTGCCCCATGTACTTGAAAAAAATTGTCTCAATGTGGCCCTCGCTGCTAGTTGTCTGACATTTGACCTTAACATCGTTTGATATGAAATTACAAAAACGCCACATCTCCCAGTTTAAATAATTATTAAAAGATAATAAATAAATAAAAAAAATAATGAAAAATTCAAGAAAACGAGAAAACATAGTCCACGACGCCAACCACAATTTTTTTTTTAATTTTATTAATAATTTTTAAACTAGAAGGGGTGGTTTTGTAATTTTCAAACTTAGATCGAACGGTGTTAAGGTCAAAGGTCTGAAAACTAACAGCGAGGGCCACACTGAGACAATTTTTCAAGCAAGGGGGGAGATCAATGCAATCGATAATAAAATGGGGTAAAGTGATACCGAACCAAAGTTCAAGAGGGGAAAAGTGGAATTTCCCCTAAAATATACTAAGAGTCAGTTGAGTTGTCCAATCAAATTCAAGAACTCGAGGGGGTCTCTCTTAAGTAGGAGATAGACCTTACATTTCCCCAAAATAGGTTAAGCATTTTATTAGAAAAATCATCTATCTATTCCTAGGAAAAAACAATTGTATAGATTCCCACTAAATTTGAAGACTTATAATATTCCAAAAAAATCATGCTCTGCAGTTCATAGTTCGAGAGAATAGAATTGAAGCGAAAATTAAATGGATACTGAAGTGAATCGAAACGTCGGTTATATTATATTGATGATTGTTCAGCTGAAAGAATGAACTAATTAATCATAATATACATACAGTGTATTTTCTCGCAAAATAGTCCATTACATATCTGTTGGAGACAAATACTGTTACAGAGTCCAAGACAAGCTAACTGTTACTGACAGTTGATAGAGAATTTCTATACAGAACCATGCAACCCCTAAACGTTTCTATGATGAGTACAACAATAAAAAAACAGAATAAAAAACAAAAAAATTAACGTGGTTCAACCAAGAGAAACGCCTACTACTGTTAGAGTAGGTGACCAACAAGCCAACATGTGGTTGTGGTCTCTCGTATTTATTATGGTAATAAACGAACCTTTATTCGTATTAATGATAAAACACCTTGGCATTCTATATCTTTGTCCATTTGTCACAAGCATAGATATAGTCCTTACAGTTATTACAAGTACTAGTAATTTATCGTTAGGATCGTGAGATATTTACTCAAGTATTATAACTGTTAAACGTGTTCCTAGTCGAAGGGTTACGCCACCAATGAGGATATCGGTCTTTCCCATTAGAAGACTAGCACTTAGTGTATGTGTACTGCATCTCATCAGTAAACGGTATTGTGATATCGGCATGCATAAGTGGGTGCTCGTAAGTTGACGAGTTCACTGAACTCCCTCACCCTAGAAATCTCTAAGTGGTTCCCAATAATCGAGTAGAGATATCTATGGTATAATTGTACACCATTAGTCCTTATGACCTAGACATCACCGTGACTTCACTAGAGGACCAGCTGTATCGTGACCTGTCTCTGAGTTCCACCGATGACCATCCCAAGGGCCAGTGTTCGTGCAGTTCGAAATCTAGTGGGAGGTCTGTGCATTGTAGTCGGGGATTCGATCGCTAGAAAAGTCTTGGATGTCCTGTGTGTTCTGAAAGTTTGAAATCATACTAAGTTTCTGGCCAGAGCTGACTAAGTGATGATTAGAGGATTCGATTCTCTAAGTCATGCACGTGAAGATTACAATACTTAGAACGATCGCACCGTCATTGAACATATAAAGAGGTCTCGATGAACCAATGCCTCTAGTTCAATCGGGACATATGAATCGAAGGGACCGTACTGTACGTTAACTATATTTGAAGGTTCTTGCAGGCACTTCATTTGTATCTAGGGAATCATGACGCGTAGTTGCTAGACGTCAATCTTGATTCGTCTTAATCGTAACTCTAAGGGGACGAGTTTTGACCACAAAGGGTTGTGGGCCCACGGCTAGCTTACACCTGAACCATCGAGGGTAACACTGCTCGTGCACATGAGATCTTTGAATAAACGGTCAAAGGTAAAATATGTTTATCTTTGCATGATTGGAAGTCAATATGATTGGGTCCAACATTCGTCATTTGGAATTATGAATGAGAAAAAGAAAAGGAAAAGAATAGGTGAACGTATTAGTGAACCTTCTAAATCGGGAAGTTTCCAAATTTAGAAAGTGCACTGAATTAGGGTTTCCACTTTTGGAAAGTTGGAAATCGAGAGTTGGCACTCGTAATGATGAGGACATTATAATGATTCCGAAAATGTAATCGTTACAGTTTTCCGATCATTGAATTGAGAGAGATGAGCAAGTAAAAGAACTAACGAACTTAAGCTGTTGGGCCCGGTCCAACTTAAGCCCGTTAGGGTTTTATGCAAGACATATAAATACTTGATTTATAGGTCTTGCACACACACAACTAAGAGAACACACGTTCATAACCCTAGCCGCTGCCTCTCTCGATCAGCCACCCTCTCCCACGGCTACCACCACCGCGCCGTCGCCGGAAATTCGCCGGAATCGGCCACCCGTTGGCCGATCTCTTTTGGTATTCCTTTCCTTCTTTCTTTTCTTCCGTTATTCTGACTATTACGTGTCTAGTGCCACGTGTTTAGTAGATCGAAGTATACGAGGTGAAATCCAAGAGGAGGAAGATTGAAGAATCGAAGATGCGAGAAGGCAATTATGAAAAACTGCTCTCGAATTTTCTGCGCTGTCCAGCGAGAAAATTCGCCATAAATCAACCGGTGATCGGATGGACGTGAAATTTTGAAAGAAGCTTCACGACTCATAAATCTACATTCTTCCAGAAGGAATTGTCCATCCAGTAAATAAGCATGGAGATATTGAAGTCGGAGCAAAGCTGTAATTTCAGATCAGCAAACAGGTTGGATCAATAGGAGTGGGAAGAGCAGCTGACCATCTTCTCGAGTCTTCGTTCGATTGATGCTTCAAGGACAGCACGTGAATCACACGCGCCGCCGTAGCTCGGATCATCGCCGTTGCTGCCCCGGATTGCACGGATTGGTTTCCGTGGCAATCTAGCTTTGCTTAGTGCGCCTACCTCACGCTTCAAGAGGTAATGTTTCGAATCTATTGTCATTCGATTCGGTTACGTTTAAATTAATATATGCATGTTCGTTTTAATAAGAAACTTGTATGATTTTATGTGTCTACATGAAATTGGTTTTATTATTGCGAGCATGATTATTTGATTTAAACGCGAGCATGCTAATTGATTTAATTTCGATTAAGTAATTAAGCATGTATGTTGTTTTAATTTCGCTGGAAGCGCAAAGGTACGCAATGTATTTTTTTTTTTGCTGGAAGCGCAAAGGTACGCAATTAATTGGTTTCATTTATCGGGCATGTGTTTATGTGCTTTAAAGTTGTTTAAATCGCATAAAATTTTTGTTTTCCGCTGCGTACACGTGCCCGAAACCCAACAATGGTATCAGAGCTCGTTGCGCAATTAATTGCGTTCGTTTTTATATGCTATGAATTTATGCATGATTCGATTTATTAAAGTAGTGATTGTTGTATTATGTAATTGGGAGTTTTCGTAAGTTTAAAATATTTTTGAAATATTGTTTAGAATTTTTCCAGCTTTAAAATTGTTTAAAATTGGAAAATCGGATCTGAAATTATTTTTAAAACGTCGGTTTTTAATTGTTCGGATCGAACCGGTCGGACCGGCCGGTTCGATGGTTGTGCACGATACAATTGACCGAATCCAAGTGGATTAGGGTCGGTCAGACCGGTTCTCGGTCCGACTGACCCGGCCCACTGATTTGGGTCAAATGGACCGGGCAGAACCGGACCGCTTCGGTCCGAACCGGTCAGACCGGTTGGGCCGAACCGGTTCACTGAAAGAAAAAAAAAAATTTATTTCAGATTGTCTAAAATTAAACTTAAAACAAATTGATTTTAATTTTTGGAAAATTATTTTCAATTAATCCCAATTAGATAATTGAGTCAACAATCATCTATTTTAGTAAATAGGTGTTAGATTAATCAAATTGATTTAAATTGTTAAATTGATTTCAATTAATAGAACACAAATATAATATTGATTATAAGTTCAACTTAATTAGTAGTACCTCAACATTATATGAATGATTTATGCTAGTTGAGGTTCTATAATTATTTTGAAAATCCGATAATTAATTAATGTAATTAATTATGTAGTTAGGTCGTATGTTCCTCTTAGGACAATATGCGTTTCCATATACCTTTAGAGAACATAAATGTAGGAATCACATAGACCAATCCGAACCTTCTGATGAGATAAAACCTTTTAATAAAAATCCCTCATTCTTAATTTAATTAAGAATCATTTCAAGCTATAAAGAAAAACCCAATCTGTTGAGTTATTTCTTTCCTTCTGCCAACGGTTGGATTATGTGTAGCCCTTTACTGTAGTGCAGTAAGCCGTGTTAGCGGGGAGTGCTATGGTAGAGTAAGCTGTAATTCAATTGACATAGCTATGAAGGTAGCCATAGAAAAGGGTTATGTTGGATTAACGTGATCGGCTAGATTAACTAGGGACTGCATTAGTTTGGCATAATCAAGTTCTATGAGCATCTTTGATTGGTAGGTTAGACTTGACACACGACGATTTTGATATTCGCGAGATTAACTTAGGTCATTATCAAACATCACTTAGGAACATCGACAATTTGTACAGAAGCATAACCGAACTGATAGACGACAAGTATATGACAAGTCCATGTATAAGAAAAAAGACTGATCAAACCATCGATTTAACGGACCGGAAAATGTTAGGGATTCGAAAGGCGGGAAAATATATGTCAAGGGACCTGGAAATTATGTTGTAAAACATTTGTTAACTGTGAGGCCTTTTTCTACAATTCCTTGGCCATGGGGGAAAACACGTGGGGCCTAGGGGTGTTTTTCGCCCCTTCAGAAAAAAAAAATCACCCATTTTCTAATACCTATTTTAATGCATTTTGGGATTTATCAATTAATTATAAACTTCCCCCCCCCCCCCCCCCCCCCCCCCCAAGATCCCATAAATTTTTTTTTCCTTCTTTTTATTCACTTCCATATTTTGGCCCCACCAACTAAAAGCCCTTGGGTCCGCCCCTGCCCTTGCCTGAAAACGCCTTTATCCGATGAAGTCAAAGAAGTGAAGCTTGAGACTGGATTGGAAAAGGTAATAATGCTCGTATATATTTGGATCATTCTTATAAGTATTTTCGTTTATTATTTTACATGTTGGTATAACGAGACTCGTTTTTTTGCTGATGTACGTAGGCGTTAGGCATATTGAATGCATCTCTTGCATCGGCTTCTGCTTTATCCGATTGCCTCGCTAATACAATATTAAATAAACGACCGAAGCAAGAATCGTGATTCTGGTTATGAAGGTTCAATCATGCATTTGTTCACATTAGTACTCTGTTTTAGTAAACAATATCATATTTTCTAAACAGCTTAGTTTGTAAACCTCTATAAATTAATACAGTCGGAATTAGAGAGATTTTATTAATTGAGCGAATTATTAAACTATCGTGTTAATGATTTAACACGTTTTTCACCGAGTCTGGACCGAGAAAAACTATTATTTAATCGACCTTCTACGTATGTTACGCAAAAAAAATAATGTGAAGAAAAACTATTGAGATCCAAAAAAATTATAAAAATTGAGATTGGTCTGATACAAATTCCTCTGTACATCTCTTCAAATTAAGATTCTTACCAAGTAAAAGATTATAATTAATCTCTACTGTTAATACTAATATTGACATTTTTCACTGTCTCTAACTGTTATCCAACTCTCTCTCCATTCCCAATTCGCCCTCCCGGAAGAATTCGTCGCCAACTCTTTAATCCTCTGCATCGGAGAATCCGAAAAATCTTCGTAATTCACCTCACATGGAGTTTCCGAAAGTACTTCTTCCTCAATCAAACTCCAAATCCCGTGATCAAGAATGCTCGTCGGCGAACACGTGTCGTCTTCGATCTTCTTTAAATGTTCGAATCGAAATTCGTCTAGAAAAGGATGCCGTAAAAGCTCTTTCGCCGTCCATCTCTGTTTCGGATCAACTCTTAAACACTTACTCAAAAAATCCTTAGCTTCGCCAGAGAGGAAATCCGGAATCTCCGGCGACTCGCCGGAGAACGCAATCCGGCGAAGCGTGGCGGCGGCGTTAGGCCACGGTGATTTTCCGGTGGACATCTCGATAACCGTGCAGCCTAGCGCCCAAATATCCGCCGGAAAACCCTGCTCCTCCCCTCTCGCAGCTTCCGGCGACATATACATCGGAGTGCCGCTGATCGCCGCCTCGTCGGCAAACTTAGCGCAGCCGAAGTCGGTAATTTTGACTTCGTTTAATTCGTTCAACAGTACGTTGCTCCCTTTAATATCGCAGTGCACTATCCCCTTGGAATGCAAGTACTCTAACCCCTTAAGAATTCCACACGTGTAGTAACCGATTGACGGCTCGTCCAGCTGGCGGCGGAGAATTCGATCGGCGATTGTGCCTTTTGGCGCGAACTCCATCATCAGATTGAAGATTGGCTTGTTGTTCTCTACGCTAATGTTGCAGCCTTTGTAACAAATTATATGAGGATTATTAAGAGTGGATAGGATTTTGTGCTCTCTCTGCAGTGGCTCCGATTGCGACAGCTCAGCGAATTTCGTGGCGAATATTTCGCCGGAGATTTGTGAAGTAGCCACCGACACGGCGGCGGTGGCTCCGTGCCCTATGGTATGGCCTCTGGTCCAGTACTCCATTTTTTTTTTCTTTTTTTTTTTTTGCTCTGAGTTCAAGAATGGAATATTTTTTTCTTTTTTTGTTTAGTACATGTTTGGTTGTACAATCTATCTATTTATATATATATGGATATATATATGTGTGTGTGAAAACAATGATGAGAATATAGAAGGTGGCATAATTAAAAAAAGGTTTGGATGTAGTCCGAATTAGTTGGGAATTGGTGAGTTGGAAGAAGGTTGCTTTAACGGGAGCCCACTACGTGGCGTTATATCTATGGCTATTAGTTAGTTGGGCACAAGTGGAAGTAGGCGGAGGGCGGGTTATTACTTGGCCAAACAGGTCTTCGCCACGTGGCGCCTTTAGGAACGAGGATCAAGAGTCGAGAATTATGATTTACATTGATAGTAGTACTCTACTTGTATTCAATAAAGTTTTTTTATACACAAGGAAAGATGTATCACGCTTTTGATGAAGTTTTATCGGCATGGGTAGGGGTGGAGATCGGACGGATCGGATCGGAAACCACCGGTTTGGAAAAAATCCGATTTTTTTCGGAAGTCAAAAGGCAATTCCGAATCCGATTCCGAAAATTTCGGAATAGAAAAACTCATTCCGATTCCGATTCCGAAAATTCCGGTCGGAATTTCGGAATTTTCGGAATTGACGGTTTACGGCGACTCTGTTGTTTTTCCGCGACGGAGCAACGACGATGGAACGATTTTGAGGCAAACTCATTTCTTATTCCAAAGACACCCTCTTCCGCAAAGAATCTTTCAAATCTTGAAAATGCTTGTGAAATGATGAACGGGCAGATCTTGACAAGAAAATGGAAGAAAAATGTAGAGGTGGGCGAAAGAAGACGTCGCCTGCAAGAAGATTTTTTAACGAATAGAAAAGAGAAGAAGAGGTGGGCGGAAGAGGAAGAAAAAAAAAAAAGGGGCAGAGAAGGGGGTGTGTGGCTGGTAGCGGCGGAAGAAGAAAAGAAAGAAAGTTAGGGTTTTGATATTTAATGTTCAGTCATTTAAAATTATAAACATAGAGTTTGGGTTTGGGTTGTAGTTTGCTAAATGGGCTGCAGGCCTATTCTTTTTAAACATGAGATGGGCTTTCTTGAAATTGAAGAAGTAGTAAATGGAAAACAAAACTACAATATAATTAATAAATAGCAATAATTTCGGAAAAAATCGGAAAATTTCGGAAAAAATCGGAAAAAATCGGAAAATTTCGGAATTATATTCGGATCGGAATTCGGAAATTCCAAAATTTTGATATGTATTTCCGATTCCGATCCGATTTTTTTCGGAAATTTCGGAAATCGGAATTTCGGAATTCGGAAGTGAAAAAATCATTGCAAAATCGGAATTATTCGGATCGGATTCGGCGGAAATCGGAAATTTCGTTCCGATTTCCACCCCTAGGCATGGGTTTATAGTTGCCAAACGTCTCTAAACGTGATACATTAAAATCCTTGATAATTGAACTTCGATTTTAAGCTATTGTCTAAATTATTATAGTGAATTATAAATAACTTTTGTATGAAAGTCATTTACAAACATGAACTTCTATGCTACACCGGATTAAGAGAAGATATATGCTACACCGAGCTATTTACATAAGGTATTTGTTAATCATAGATGAAGTTAAATAATCACCCACTAAATACATATATACATGAATGTGTGTGATTATTTGTGAATCTACGGTTAACAATCACTTAGTGTTAATATATAATCGGGTGTAGCATAGAATTTCCTGATTTTAACACCGGATGTTTGTTGACCATAGCATACAGACGCGCATGTATATGTGTACTTATTATGTGGTTATTTAACCCCATTTACGGTTGACAGACACTCGATCCTCAGTGTAGCGTATAACTCCCCATTTACAACTATACTCGCGAATCCTCCCATTCAAATTTAAGTTATTATATGAAAATTCAACCAAACTCCCACTAAAATTTGATTTGTTATGGTTTTATTTATGGAAAAATAAGTGAAATGTATTGTATCGAAAAAAGATTGAGCATCACATACATATATGCAGTTTGCAAGTTACTGTACATGAGCGAAATTTACTAAATGCGTTTCAAATAGTTGCGAATTCTCTTGGGGATAATTTTATTTTTACCAACAAATATATTTAGCTAGGTTAGGTGGATAGATGGGATATTGGATAATCCAAAAATATGGTAAAGTTTGATGCGTTGTATTGTAATGGAGTGGGCAATGACTTTGAAGATTAAATTTGTGAGTTGGCTAACTCTTGTTAAAGTGGGTTGACCCAACCGACAAAATGTTTTTATTTCTTTTCTTTTTCTTTTTCATTTTCTATATTTATGAATATACCTTTATTTGGTTGACACGTTGAATTTTAGGATGACTTTTGTAAATTAATATATTTGTTTCCAATTAGAAAGTCAACTGAAAGTACCATAAGAAGAAAGAGAAAAACCTGCAGCAAGTCAAAACTATAAGGGAACTAATTTGATGCACATTTTCTTTTCATCACGTGTTTAAATAAAAATGTTTATTATGTTTTGTCTAGATTGAGGAACAACTCATCTTCTTTTATAATTTGGTATTTAAATTTGCAGCCTACTAATTTTAGATACTTGGTTGAATTTATTGTATGCTACACTCGACAAAATTCAACTAGTTAGTGCCAAATCGTATATGTATATATATTAATTACATATTTTTGTGTGATTATGTATAAATCCATGGGTGAAACCACTTTTTGATCGGAAGTGGCCCTTATTCCTGTAGGAAAAAAAGATTTTGTCATTTTTTTAATGCTTTTTTTATTTTATAGTATTTTTTTATATTATTAATTGTCTACTAATTTTGCCCTATAGTTCCCAAAAACAATTAAGGCCCCCTTATCAGTATAGGCTCTGCGTTCGTGCTTGTGTAAATCTACGGTGCTATATACTAATTGATGTATTAATGAAACTTGGGCAAAACGAACTTTTAAAATTCTATGTTCATATGATATATTTTTTTCTTTTCTTTTAGTTAATGAAGGAACTCGCAGCCAACTATATAGATGCACGCAACCAACTATATAGATGCACGTGATAAACTTACACTATCGTATAATAATTTGCAAATCATACGAGAGATGTAAACCATACTAGACTAACCATGTGTGACAAGCTCGACTCAGTGATTGTTGGCAAGAGGATTATATATGATATATTTGTTTTTATGTAAAAGTGTTGAATTTGGTGGTTAAATTTTTAATATTTTTTTGTAATCTCAAGATATTAACCATCTCACTAATAAAACTCTCCATTTTTCACTTTTATATATGTTTTAGAAGATAAATTTTGGACCAAGATTTAATGTGATCATTGATTTATGAAGTCTAATTTGCTCTTTAATGATCACCTTCTAGATGAAACACATAATCATATTTATTGAATCTTAAGATATAAATCATCTCAACAATAAACTGTCTGCTCTTGGTGGTCCCTAACTTGGAAAACAAGAATTTCAAAAAAATTCCAATAAGAAAAATATGAGAAAAATGAAAAATAAAAGAAAATAAAATAATAAAATAATATTTCATAATTTTAAAGATCCAATTAATAGTATATTAAGTGATCATGAGCTACTTGTCATAACCATAAAAATGACATGTGTCACACCCTGAAACCATAATCACTATTCATCCAACTACGAGTAGGAAGGATTGAAAGTCAGAAATTGACAATTTTTATTTATTTATTTTAATAAGATATGTCTCATGTCAATTTAGTTATATGCCATACTTCAAAATGAAGTCTAACATCATAATAAAACCTTAGAAATTATTCAACATTATATTACCAAGAAATAATAGCCCAACTAAAATTGGCAATTATAAGAAGACAAATATAGAAGAGTATATTTGACATTACATAAGAAGTCGAATGGAGGTGTTGTAGATGCTTCATCAGGTGAAGTATATTGCTTAGTTTTGTATATTTAATTTATACACAATCAAACACGCGTAAATATCTTTCCAAAAAATTAAACACATAAATATGAATGTGTGTAAAATATGTATAAATTTATTTATACACATGTATAGTAAAATTTAATCCGATAAAATTTTTCGAATGTAATATAAAACAAGGGCGAATGGCATCACATGGGACTTAAATGCACATTGATCCACAAAAAAAAAAAAAAACAGTCTCTCAATTAAACCCATCCCCATGTCTTTAGTCTAAAATACCCTCCATAATATAATTCTTATCAATTCCATCCATTGTGTTCTAACTTCCTTAATATTACACATTGACCCTGGATTTAAACAAATTTATCACATTAACCCCCAAAATATTTTTTTTCAGAAAATAATTCTTTTTCTGAATTTTTTTTTCCGGCCAGATTTCGGCGTTGACTTTATTTTTATTTTTATTTTTAAAAAAATTTCCTAAATTTTTTTTCCGGCCGGTCAACCACCGTTGACTTTTTTTCGATTTTTGTTTCTTAGAAAAAAAAATATTTTAATTAATATTACTGTCTTGGCTACTAAATTACTGTCTCAGACAGTAATATTACTGTTTGGGACAGTAATATTATGAATATTATTTTCCCGAACAGTAATATTATTAATATTATTCTCTAAGACAGTTAAATTACTGTTGGAGACAGTAATTTAGCAGCTAAGGCAGTAATATTAATTAAAAGAATTTTTTTCACGAAAAAAAATTTCAAAAAAAAAAAGTCAATTAACAGTTAAATTACTGTTTCCGACAGTTAAATAACTGTTGGAGACAGTAATTTAGCAGCAAAGACAGTAATATTAATATAAAAAAAAAAAAAAGTCAACGCCGGAGATTCGGCGGTCAACGGCAGTTGACCGGACGGAAAAAAATTTCAGGAAAAAAAAAGTCAACTCCGGAGACCGCCAGTCTCCGGCGGTCAACGGCGGCGACCAGCGGTCTCCTGTGGTGGCGGGTCAAAATTGGGATCAAAATTGAAATTAGTTAAAATTGGTTAAGTGATGAAATTTGGCTAAATTGGGATGTAAATCATGAAATTGGAGTTGAATTGGGTTTCAATGAACTGGGAGTAATTTTGATATATATATATAAAAGGATTTTCTTTATTTACAAATAAGTTTGAATGGGCTGAATTTATTTAAAAGACAAAAAAGTTGGATGTTCTTCTTTTAATTAAGTGCCCTTGTCATGGGCGTATTTGTCATTTGCTCATAAAACAAACTGTCAAAGGATCATATGAATGAAAACAAACCACAAAAGGGCTAATAGAAGTTGCAACTAATTTTACCAATTTAATTGACCAATGAATATTAATTTTGTGGAGACACTAAACAACAATAGGTCGGATTTGGTTGGAATGCAAATTAAATAAATAGATAAAGGGCCACTATCTAATGTTTTTATTTTGGTACAGTTTGACCTATTTTGGTTGGTTGAATCTGTATAAAAACACATCTATTTTAATTCAACTGTCTATTAACAACATTTTAATGTTGGGCTGACTATAGTTTATTAATATTAAACTAGTCAAACATTTAATAGTTTTATTAGATTTTTATTATTAATCTATAAAAGATTTGCAGAAATCATACTTGACGAAAGCAGCTAAATGAATAAGCTTTCAAACATATTCAAATCATAGTCTACTGTTACGTGGCGAATTACATATTATGAGGGTAAATTACAATCCCTTCTGTTTGGGTAATTACAACTATCCCCTCAAATATAAATCTTCTTACACGTCGACCCTCGCGGTTTTAAATGTAGTGGAATCTTCTAGATTATATGCAATATTCTCACTTTTGTACCCGTTTAAACCCATTCAAACTCCACATTTTGAAGCAAGATGATCATAAGATGTGTTTTTTGGCTTGTATATATCAAATTTTTGTGCATCAAAAACTGTATTTTTTTATCTTGTTCATTGTATAAATTTCGGGTGAATTGCAGTTTGCACCTCGGAAATGACCTAAAATGTACTTTGCATCCTAAAACTTAAACACTTCTTAATCCTCTAATTATTAGTTTTAAATCATTGGCCCATTAGCTCAGTTGGTTAGAGCGTCGTGCTAATAACGCGAAGGTCGCAGGTTCGAGACCTGCATGGGCCATATAATTGTTTTTTTTTTTCAGGTGAATTTTGCACAAAATGAGTACAAACTAGATAACATTCCACGAAATCTAGATATTATGTTGAATTTGACACTTAAGGGTGGAGGTGTAAGAAGATTCATAGTTGTGGGTAAATGTAATTATCCAAACATAAGGGATTTTTTCGTAGTTTAACCATACCTTAAGGGGGTGGTTGTAATTTATCCATTATTATTATTACTTCTGAATAATATTATGGCAAATGACAAATAGGCCCATGACAAGGGACTTAGATACACATAGGTCCAGACAAAAAACAGTCTTGCAAATACGCTCATCCCCATGTCTTTTGTCTAAAATACCATCTATACTATCAATTTCATCGATTATACTCTAACTTTATCAATATTGCACGTTGACCCTGGATTTGAACAAATATATCACATTAACCCCCATTGTCATCATTTTTTTTAAAAATATTTTTTTAGAAATTAATTGTTTTTCTGAATATTTTTTTTTTCGGTCAGGTTCCGGCGTTGACCGCGCGGTTCACCGACAGTGGTGATAGTACATGGGTGCAAAATGTATTTAGCCCCAAAAAAAAAATCTACAAGAATACATCGTCTTCTTCCACCGCCTCCCCTTTCTTCCACCAACCGCCTCCTCCACTCTTCTCGTCGGCGACTCTGTCCGTAGCAGAGGTTATTCCCTCTTCGCCTTCATGACTATCCTGCTCCATCGCCAATTTCTCTTTGTCACCGCAAAGTTCTGAAGAACCCCAGCCCTCTGGCATTCGTCGATAATGGAGGATCTTGAGCCCTTGCGTCCTTCAACCACGGTTTTCTGGCGAGAACGACGAATGCGAGGAAGTTCTTCCAGCAAGATCTAAGGGTGCGGGCTGGTCCAAGGTAGGTTCGACGGGACAGGCTTTTCCGACCAAATCTTCCGACGAGTTTTAGAGGTGGGGGTTTCGTACAAATTGAACGGAAACACTTTGATTTTGGCGAGTTGTGAGGCATAAAATGAATAATTATAAATTCGCCGCCGAATTGTTATTATGTTTGTTAAGCTTTCCAAATTCTTTTCACACTTTCCCCAAAATGAAAATTATCTTTCTACACTATTTTCAAAAACTTTCCTCAAAACAAATTCAAATATTTCTCTCTCTAACAAACATGATTTGACCGCTACAGTGAAAATTGTCTTCACTAAAATACAAAATCAAATTACTTTATCTTTTAAATTCTTCTTCCAAAATACCTTTTCCCAACACCTTTCAGACATGATTTGACTTGCTACAGTACAAATTGTCTCCTCCCAAAACACAAACAAACTTTATTTAATTTTCAAATTCTTCTCCCAAAACATCTTTCCCCAAAATAAAATGGAAATGGAAGCCCAAAAGCTTACCAAACAGAGCCATCACTGTTGTTGTAGTGGTGAATATAAAGAAGATGGCTGTGGTGGTGGTGTAGGAGAGCATCAGCAGATTGAGCAGATGGAGAAGATGGTTGTGGTGGTGGGCCGAGTACAACTTTTTTTGTTTAAATGATTATTGTTATTTAATATAAAATGTAACAAACAATTGCTAACTATATAAAAATACAATAAAAAAAACATATAAGAACTTTTAATATTACAATATATATTTGATTCTTGTTTAATTTTTATTTTTATTTTTAAGAATTAAAAATAAATACATAATATTTATAAAATTAAAGTGATTCTAAAATTTAGTGTATTATAGTTTACTAATTGCTAAAAAATCCCTTAGGGTATCTTTGTCTATTCACCATTAGTCAAAGTCTAAAAAGCCCCAATTGTTTTTCAAAAATAAAGAGTAGCTTATATTATTGTTGCCAAATCGACCGGAAGATCAAAAGGTTTCAGAGTATCAACATTCGAGAAATTAAAATGTGAGCTAGCATATTACCCTTTCGCCGAACAAAAGAGCAATAAAAAACAGCAAAAGAGTTAGAAAGATCAAGTAGGGAAGTGATCCAAATGGAACATAAGGGTCAACCCGCTTTTCATTAAATTGCCGAAATGATTTGTGCGTTGTCGCCTTCGAGAATTACCTGCTGCCAACCACAAGCTAATGCGAAACAGACACCACCAATGCCACCCGTGTCTCTCCAGCTACTGCATCCGGTTGCCCAGTAAGACGACAAACATTCCACCCTAGACTCCTTCCGTCGTCGCCCCGAGCCACCATCGCCACTTGGTATTTATCCGCCGTCATAAAACCCACATCAAAGTTCGGTTTAATAACTGAAGTCAGTGGTATCAGTATCAATATCATTATTAGTTTCGGTATCATTATCAATATCAACATCAATATCAGAATTTGCATCGGTATCAGTTAAATTATATGTATAGTATCAGTATCACTATTAATATCATTATCATTATTAGTGTCAATATTACTATAAGTATCAGTATTAATATCGATATTAATGCTATACAAAGCATAAATTGCAGGGGATTAAGTGTTATTTACTCAAATCTGATTTAGTAGCTATTTTATCAGAGTCACATAGGCAATACACTTTCATTCAACTAAATATTAGCTTATGAATATATCACACAGTAGACAAATAGACTACAATTTTCGCAATGAAACAGGACACGTTACAAACAAGACCATGAACGTAACAAATGCCTGAACCAGCATTTGATGTAAAAAGATTCCTTCAATATGCTTAAGATGCACGAAAAGCCTCAGTCTACTTGCTTAGGCTGTTTCTTGAACATGGAATCAACCATTAGTCCATCGGTCAGAGCAGTAGTCGATGTAAGAGATGCCTTCAGTATACTTAAACCCTGCAATAAAAAAATTATCCTAAGTGTTCGAAATTGTATAAACAAAAATAAAGAACGATACATAAAAGTCGAACATTATATATTAATTACCTCTTTTAGTCCAATTTGCACCTCGACTTCTTCGACATCAGATAACGGGATTTTGAGCTCAGTCAAAATAGAAAGACTGGAAGTCATAGTCAAAGGAGTCACAATCAAATCATCACTCACCATATACATTGTTGGTTCTTTGAGGTAACTTCCATGGCGGTGGCCGTTTCGAAACTCAATGACAGGATCCCGTCCGCTATACGACAACCATTCTTTGCCCAAATTTAAGTCGAGATTGTAATACATTCGTGGACCATTTTCTTCGGTAAGAGGAAGAATCTGATTTTTGGACATATAACCGTTACGTAGCTTTGGATTGATTAGCCTATTTTTTATATCCGGATTGCTCAGATATTTGTCCTCGTTGATGTTTTCGACACTTTGGTACAAATTGTCTAACTTGGTAAGAGAAGTGTTACCGCCCAAAAGGAACGCAACTCCTCCTAGAGGGACGGTCAGCAAACTGAAAAGGAAATCGACAAAATCTTCCTCCGATTGAGCAAACAATAACTTATTCGTAGATTTTTGTACCGTCAACCTCAAATTCATCTTCTTGGAGTTAGAATCTGCCTCGTGAAATAAATTTCCCGGTTCAGTTTCTATGGCTGCGGATTCCGTCTCGGGAATTAACAAATCCTCCAGCATAATCACAATCTAATCCAAATATTTAAAACCAAAAAAAAAAAAAAAAAAAAAAAAAACAAAAAAGGTTAACATTAAAGAAAGTAAGAAATGAAATAGGGTAAATCACACCTACACCCCTGAAATATGCTAAAATAAATTGAAGGTCCATATGGTATCAGTAATTAGAATCATCCCTAAAAAATTATTAGAAACTCTATCGGAATAACGTATCCAATGCATTATCCCATTAAAAGTTTCTAACAATATTTCAGGAGTGATTGTAAATACAAATACCACAGGACCTTAAATTTATTTACCATACCTCAGGGGTGTATGTGTAATTTTACCAATTAAATTTCGAAACAAGATCAAGAAACTCACATCATTCACTCCGAAAGTCATTTTCCATTGTTCGGTTCCATCATTGTCTGTAATGGCAAGATTGCTTAGGGTTTCCATTACAGATCCAGCCACATTAATATTAGGCACCAAAACCATATCGCCCGATATTAAGAAAGACCCGTTTTTCACAGTAAAAATCCCACCATCACCATCAGACGAAGAATCCATTGTACCGATTTCTCTTTTCAGACTTTTCCCACACGTGCATGTAGCGGCATCGCGGTGCATGCTTATGTTTGAGTGTCTAGGATAAACACAATCAAAGTCTTCGCAGCAAAAGTACTTTGTCGGTCGAGTAGTACCGTTGATATCGAGTTTAAGTTTAAGGCATTCACCTTCGAACGAACTTCTCGGATTCAGAAGCATCTCCTTACAGCTCTCCGTCCAGAAATGACAGCTGTCGAGATTCTCTAAGCCGTTGTACAAACTTGTTAAGCTTCCAATTGTCGGCGGTGCCTCTTTGTCGTCGTCTCCACAGTAGTGCTGATTCAGGACTCTGACAATTGTTCCCAATGGCAATGTCAGAAAGCTGATTAAGACATCTGCGAAATCACTACCGGCTTCTAGGAACAGCACTTGGTCATGTTCACCTGTCACAACTTCCAAATTGAACTCGACGTCCTTGTAAGTATCCGACATTCGTTTGGCTTGTCTGTGCCAATAATTCAAGAAATTCCAGAACGACATTGTTTTGGCTTGTCCGTACCAATAATTCAAGAAATTCCAGAACGACATTTTTTTGGCTCGGCTGTAGTACAAATTCAAGAAATCCCATAACGCCATTGTTGTCTGTGACTTAATTGGCTGTATAATAAATTCAAGAAATTGATCACCATATTTTCTTGGAGGGTCCCTTTTTAAAAGGCCATAGTATAAACCAAGAGTCTGTACTGCCGTCCAATCAAATTCTAGGACCCCAAGGTTCTATGCAAAATGTAGACCTTCCAAATTCCAGGTCCGCAAAACGGGGTTTAGTATTTTATTTAAAATATTATAATAAAAAATAGGGTAAATTACAACCACACCCCTGAGTTATGGTCAGATTATAAAAATTGCCCTCATGTTTGGGTAATTACAACCACCCCTGAAGTATGGTCAAAATACGAAAACCCCCCTTCTGTTTGGGTAATTACAACCACTCCTCAACTATAAATCTTCTTACACGTCCATCCTTGCGGTTTCAAATTTAGTGGAATCTTCTAGATTATATGGATTCTTAATTTTGTACCCGTTTTATCTCATTCGAGCTCCACATTTTGAAGCACGATGATCATAAGATGTATTTTTTGGCTTGTATATATCAGATTGTGGTACATCAAAAACTGTGTTTTTGCACAAAACGAATACAAATTAGAGAACTTTCTATGGAATCAAGATGATTATGTTGAATTTGACACCATAAGGGTGGAGGTGTAAGAAGATTCATAGTTGAGGGTAGATGTAATTATCTAAACAAGATGAGTTTTTCCGTAATTTTCGACGTATTTTTCGTCTGGATTGCCATTTATCCTTCACTTCAAGGGCATTGAGTCATTTCATCATTCCCGTCAAAATCCTAATATCCTTATCTTTTCTAATACACGAAAAATACAATCCATTTCACTAATTTCAGAAAAACAAAAAATCATGATTTTTTTCTCCCAAAAGGAATTGTGCCTATTTTGGTCCCAAAATTGCGAGAATCTTCAATTTTTCTTCAATTAGTCGCTATTATGGTGATATGTCCCTAGAATGACGCAAATGCTCTTCACTTGAACGGATTCATTGCAATTCCAGTGAAAAATAAGCTGGAAATTGTAATTTGGGGCAAACTACAATAGGAACAAAATTTTGAAGGGGAGAATCTCTTTTTTGAATTTGTAGGGGGGAAAGTGAAAGAATCGTAAAAAGTTTAGGGGGTGAAGTGCATTTTGTCCTAAAAATAAGGGCAAATAGCACTTCACCAGGGATAATTATATTTTTGGTCCCTCAAATTTGCACGCTTTTCACTTTTGGTCTGATCCCCTATTTACTGTCGTGAACAAAATACACACTAATGTTGTCACATTTTAACACATTTAGTCCATCCGTCTGTTTGACCGTTAAGAACTAACGGTCTAACGGTTGACTTTGGTATTTTTCTAGAGAAATTTGCAGTAAGTCCCCCTTTATTCTTTCAAAGGATTCTAACACTCCTAAACTTTTATTCAACCATAATTTAACCTCAATTTCATCAATTAACCAATTTTAACTAATGACCCCGATTTTTCAAAATCGAGTAATCCGATGTTGACTTTCTATTTAACTCGGTTGATTCTTTTTTTGATTGATCATTTTTTGCCGTTGTTGACCGATGTTGAAAGTCGGGTTAACAACGTTGACTTTTTTTTTTGATTTTTATTTAAATTGTTGAGTAGTTGGAAAAATATCATTTCAAAAAATTCAAAGCTTATAATCGACGAGAAATATAATATCACAAAAGAAGTCAAAAAAAAAAAAAAAACCAGCTCAATGACGGAAAGATTTTAAGACAAAAAAAAGAGATAAAAAATTAACGTCCGGTGTTAGCCCCAAAAACCGTTGTACTAGAGTGGTTATCTCATTTCCAAATTACTCCGCACATGCCTAATTCATCTTCTTCATATTTGTTTGGGAAGAAATTTGGGATGCACTAGCGGTTCCGCGAAAAAATATTGAGGGGAAGAAATTATGGATTTTAGAATTTTTTAAAATTGTATTAGGCCCCAAAATTTTAGATAAAAACTTTGTTAGATATTAATATTACGATACTAGATATTAATATAGTATTATTATTGTGTTATACAATAATAATATTGTGTTGGTCGGAAAAAAAAAGTCACAGGAGAAAGTTAAAAAAAATCAAGAAAAATAAAAAAGTCAACTGCTAACCGAGAATACAATGTCGGTGAACGGCGTCAAAAACAGTATTAAAAAAAGTTAAAAAAAAATCAACGGCGGTCAACAGTCAGCGGTTATGGTGGTAAAAATCGGGGTCGTTTGTCAAAATTGATTAAATGATGAAATTGAGGTTAAATTAGAGTTGAATAATATTTTAAGGGTTTTTTGAATATTTTAAAAGAATGGAGGAGTCTGAATGCAATTTTCTCAATGAAAAATCTCAAATTCAGCCATAATTCAACAGTTGACCGACGGTTACTTTTTGACGGTCAAACAGACGGAGGGACTAAATGTGTTAAAATATGACAACATTAGTGTGTATATTGTTAACGGCGGTAAATAGAGGACCAAAAGTGAAAAACGTGAAAAGTTGAGGGACCAAAACTGTAATTTTTCCCACTTCACCCCTTAAAAATTTCCACTTTTGCACTCTCTCTAAAAATATAAAAAAGAGACACCCCTTAAAAATTGCCAGGGTACTCTTTTTCACATGGGCTCGGGTTGTTTATAATGGAGAGACTAGTAATATCAGGTAAAGAGAGTTTGGGCCTTTTTGGAGTTTTAGGTATTATTTCGCCGGAGAAAACTTCAAAGGATTTTGCAAGGGGAGTATCCTGAGCCATAAAGGATTTTCCGGAAAGAGGTTTGACAAGATCAATATGTTTTATGGAAAAGTGAGGATTGGGAATATGGTGATTTTCTGCCCTAAGCCAAGGACCATTGTAGCACCCCTCCCGGGCGGGCGATAAATCGAACCTGTTTATCAGAAAACTTTAGATAGCGGAAGCAAAAAGGGATCTCTTTGTAATTTTAAAACTTTCGAACAGGACAAAAATGTAATTTCTGAAAATCTCTTTTTGATGCATGTGAAAACTTTTTTGGGAACCTTAAGAATTCCAAAAACTGCTTAGGGTTATTTTGGTCTTTAAATTTTTTTCGTTTCAAAATAACTTTGGAAAGGGAGATTATTATTCGAGTGCTACGTTTATCTAATTATAGGTTTCATTTTTATGGTTCGAAAAGAAATCAGAGTTTTATAGGTATTTGGTAATTAGGGATTTTCGGGTAAGAAATGCAATTATCAAAATAAGCGGACCAACTATATTAATATCAAAATAAGACCCCTTTAAAGATTTCCTTCAACAGAGGTATTTGGACAAGAAATCATCTTGTGTCCACAGAAAGGGAGTTCTCAAGAGAGAGAAAGTCGGGGAGGCCCCTTTAGCTTAACTTGATTCTTTTTGTCGGTTTTTTTTTTTTTTGTTTTTTTGCACGTGATATATGTGCTGTGTCTATATATATATATATATATATATACATCAATTATAAGATTTCTTTCATATATAGAATACAAATTACCTGTGTGTGTCTATATATATATATATATATACGTACACATATCATTTAATGAAGAAAAAAGGAGTATATATAATATATGTTTATATATAAATAACCGACAGATGTATACAAGTGCTGCATGTGATATATGTGCACTTGTATATATACATCTGTCGGTTATCAATTTTTTCTGTGGTGGTTAATTTATGACGCAAATATCACACATACATGAATTCTCTGATGTAGGGGGAAATTAACTATTTTAATAATATTATATTTATGACGCATGGATATAACTTATAACGTGTATAATTTATCTACATAGTTTACCATTGGGTATAATTATTTGATGAAGAACTATAAATTAAGTTATGAATAATTCACATTTGGCACACCTCTGTAACATTTGATCGATCAGTGCAGTAATTTTTTTTCAATTCAGTCTGCAATTATGGGAAAAAATAAATCTTATCTTAATTTATTTTTTAATTATACAATTGGATTCTCATAAATTAAAATATATAAAACGAAATTAATTAAATCTAATCTTATCTTGTAAACAAAAGGAGACCTACACTAAAAATATGCAATCACTTAAAAAAATATATATATAATTAAAAAAATATGCAATGAATTATTTTCACAACTGTAGAAGCCAACCAAAGTTTACTCTCTTCCATTTACCTTTTGGGGTCGTTGAGTATCTTTTTCTACACATATATAACACATTTCTCTCGATTATATTTTGCAATTAAATATAAATTAATTACTCGTTCTGCCCTTTCTTTTAAATTTTAAAAACTCCAAACTTTCTTCCACAAACAACCTCATTTATCATTAATATTACGTATATACCCCCCAATATTAATTTGGCCTATAAATAAATTGCACCAATATTCGCTAAGACCACAATCACTCGAATTTATAAGTCTATAGTTTTTACACAATTTAGTGTTATATACTATCATTCTTTCATTCCTAGATTCTTCTCTCTCTCTCTCTAAGGTGTTTCATATCTCTCTCTCTCTCTCTAAACATGTGAGTTATACTAGTCTTATATATATATACATATATGATCAGTACTAATTAATTGGCATATTTGTGATTATATATTATATAGAAAGAAGAAGAATGTGGAAGCTGAAGATAGCTGAAGGCAATGGGCCTTACCTATACAGCACAAACAACTTTGTAGGCCGACAAACTTGGGAGTACGATCCTAATGCCGGAACCCCCGAAGACCGCGAATCATTTCAAAAGGCTCGGGACCAATTCGATCAAAACAGGATAAAGGGATTTCATTCATGTGGTGATTTGTTCATGAGGATGCAGGTACGTACATGCATATACGTATATATGTATCATATCATATAGTTAGTATATATTAATTAATAAAATAGAAAATTATATGTTTTTTTGTTTGTTAAATGTTATGTCAACAACCAGCTCAAAAAGGAAAGTGGAATAGATCTTGAGAGCATACCAGCGGTTAGACTCGAAGAAAAGGAAGAAATAACTTACGAAACAGCGACGATTGCTGTAAAGAA